TTGACTTCGGTCTTCAGCCCTGCGAGGTACGATTGCACTTTTTCCCCTTCGGTCAGGTCGGGAATTCGGTTATAAAATTCTTCCATCTGCTGCGTGTACTGTGCTACACTCCCGAACTGTCGATGGCGATGAATTTTTTCGCGGGCAAGAAAACCTGAATTTATCGGCTCAAATCGTTTGAGCAGGTCGGCGCGGAACTGCTGCCACGTGGCTTCACCGTGGATGAAGGTGCTGTTGCCGCCAATCCACTCGAGTGCCGGCCCTCGCATCCGTGTCGCCGCGAGTCGTACGCGTTGACCGTCCCAGACTGGCGAGCTCCATCCGACGGCTGCGAAGTAGATCTCCATCTCGGCGATCCATCTGCGGGCGTCGGAGTTTCGATCGCTCGGATCGAACGGCTCAGGTGGGCGCGGTTTCGGAGCCTCGAGAAACTGCTGCGACTGCTGCGTCGTCGCCGTTGTCGAGTCGTGCTGCGCTCCGGCGAGTCGAGTTACTCGCTCGAACTCGTTTCGCCACGCTTCGCGATCCGCTCGCAGCTCCTCCTGAAGAGCGGCGATGCGCGCGAAGAGTTGCTGGGTAACCTCGGCGTTGTCGAAGGTTGCCATCCTGTTCAAAACACGCGCGGGAGGGGGAATTCACAAAACGCGGAGCTGGTGCTTACCAGAATCGGCGTCGAATTCGTCGCCCCCGGCGGTTTTTCGAGGCAGGTTTTCCCGCTGCTGCTGCTTTGTTGAGCGCGGCCGAGTGAGAAAAGCTCTGATACCAAGTGTCACAGGATCGAATGACTCGAGGATCGATTGCACTATCGATCAGTACAAGGTGCTTTTATACTTCCAGAGTACATCAGGTAACCAGGTTTATCCTATCCAAAGGAATAGACCCTTCTAGAATATAGAATCACCCTGCGTATAGCCACGCGAGGCCATTGGCTTTAAGGGATTACGACAGGATTACGCTGGATAATGTGCCAGTACATCCCAAGCCTGGTCGGTGATATAATTATAATAGCAGGATCAACCAAAGGATAATGGAAGAATGGAGAATAGGAAACCAAATGAGATGAGATAAAAAGAAGAATGAAATAGTAAGGAGATAAGAATAGGACAAGTGGTGTAACGGGGTCGTACTCTCACAGCGGGGCCGCTGGTCGACGGGGCCGAGGGCCGCTAGGGGACGGGGCCGCGGGGCCGCTGGTCGACGGGGCCGAGGGGCCGCTAGGGGACGGGGCCGCGTGGCCGCTAGGGGACGGGGCCGCGGGGCCGCTAGGGGACGGGGTAGGCGAGACGGCTAGGACCTACGGCGGAAGCGCTGGTGGGCGAAGGGGACCTAACTACTCATGATACCATATCAAACTGATAGAATGACTAGAATGTGAGAATACATGACATTATAACCTAGGGGACAACCCTATATGGTCTACAACATCACACACAAATGTGTTTGACAAAAAAAATGCCACGTCTTGTAACGAAACATGCCTCAATTCGTTTGCAACTATTGTGTCGAGTGTTTGAGAAACTAACCTCGAATCGCTCAGGGCGTGATTTTTCCAAATTGCGCAACTCGGTCAAGTTGGGTATTTTGATCTTGTTACGATTTTTGTAAACTTTTCGAGGTTCCCATTCTACGACCCTGATTTTCTTCGAAGCCACAACTTATTGAATTTCTTTTTTTTAAAATGCAAATATAAACAGCTCGACCCTATTCTTTATGTATTGCGCAGTTTATTGTAAGAACATGCAATATCTTATTGAAACTAGGTTTGACGCGCGTGCGATATGGCGGGCAACAGATGCTCGTAGCATACGCCAACGCCGCCGATCATGAACAGTACATATCAAACAGAGCTCCAATAATTCTCGAAACTCCATAGTCCCCATTGCCAGTAGCGTATCGTCGTTATGCCATGTACGCCATTTTTTACGAGCCTCGTTTTGAGAGTCTTTCGCATATGATTTGTATCTTCCCGATAGCCTATGTGCTGCAGATATTGAAACTTGCGAGTAGTAAATACGCCCGCCCTTAGACTTACAGTTATTCCGCAGCGAGTGTCAGACCCGAGGTCGATCTGCGGCCGAAGGAGCCGCTGGTTGTCACAACCTAACAGCGGGTTTAATTTTCTTGACGGTGCAGTGGCTGCATAGTCGCGAACTGTCGCAAGGGAAGGGTTGCAACTATACTGGACGAAATTTTCGAGTCCACCAGATATTTACGAAGTTATGTCTGGTGGAAGTTCATTTGCGCGACTTTGTTAGTTGCTCGGTTTGACAGCTGACTCGCAGGAGCCGTCAGTTTTTTCGCAAGACCTGAGGCAATTTTATTCCGGCCTTGGATCTTCCCTCTAAACCCTCGGGTCTAAAACTCGCTGCGGAATGCACACTTACCACATTCGCGTGACTGGCGTTGCCAATGCGGCCACTTCGTAACGCACCCAGCTTGCCTTATGTTTCAAGGGTAATTACATGAAATTCATTGTCTTTACGAGTTCTCGCATAGAAACCCGGTTATAGGCATTGCACTTCTAAACATGCTAGACGTTTGTCATACCGATGTTGTAAAACAGACGTATAGAGTAAATCGAAATGTCACTAGAAGCTTTGGAACCCGGGATGCGGATTCAGAAAATACAAATTATGGTAGGTAAAGATAAAATAGAATGGGAAAACCTAGATTCGTCGCACCTGGCGCGTTTCGATTTGCTAGTATGCTGCACGAGGGTCAGGTCGTCGACCCTCAACCTCCTGCGATCGATGTGGGGCAACGACCTCTCCGCGTGCACCATTACTTCCAAGAATGTCGTGCATGCGGCATGTGTGTTCCGTCGCTGATTGGCTGGTTTCATGTTTTCTCGCGTATATGGGGTTTGCGCCTAAGGAATAATTTGCATCTGCAAAATACCTGCAGTAATCGTGGTTGCTCTAATAGAATACGATTTGTAATGATTCTGTGCTCTGCAACTTGATGCTCTCCAGAATCACAAGTCCTCGTTGGGAACGGCCCTATTTAATGAAACGAAAAATGGGAATGTAGTGTACCCAAACACGGCCTCCTCTTGTGATTAGGTACACCCTTCACGCCCTGGAGCAGCCCACCCACTTGTTGGAAGGACTCTCTCCGAGGAAAACGCGCGCTTTGACGAAAATCAAGAACATTTCAAAACGGTCGATCCATTTTTCCTGCGATGTATGGCATTCCCCCGTTCCCCAAAACAGTCGACCCCCTTCCAACTGTACCAGTTTTCGTTTTGATGTGCCGAATATTGGAAATGTAATTTTGGGTCGCTGTGAAAACATTTGCCGTATCCCAATTCAATTGTTGCGCGAACATGCATTTAATGGGTCGCGACCTAAATCTGCTCGTGCCTGCCTGTCCCCTGCACCTGGCGTGAATGCACGTGTTGGAGTCATCTGACTCTCGCAAGTGTCGGAGCTTACGCGTGGTTTTGGGGGCACCCTTCAGATCCGGGTATCTGGCCTAAGCTACCTGTTAGAATCCATGTTTAGCACTCTGTCCTGTCAAAATTCACCCATCAAATCCGGGTTTCACAGCCTGTTCTGTCAAAATTCACCCGTCAGAATCCGGGTTCAAACCCTGTTTTTGGAAAAGTTCCCCGTCGGAATCCGAGTTCAGCGAAAACCTCACCCGCTATTTTGTTGAAATCCTGACGTTGTGCTCAAAATGATTGCGTGTGCCTTTTTCAAATGGGTTTTTAGATTAGCGGTAACCCTTACTGGCGTTTTAATCTCATAAGTACCGTTTAGCCCTATTACAGAAGGGTTTTTCACCATTCCAACCCGCGAGGGGCAATTTTTTGTTCTTCGAGGTTAGTCCGGTCCACAGCGAACCACGCGTCACAATCTCGTTGCTCCGTCACTGTAGCATTTGCTTGGCAAATTCGCCACACCCCTCCTTGTCTTTTTGTTCCGAAGCCATCCAGGAAGATGGGCGGCTCTACAGAGAACTGTTACAGCCGTACTGTTGCGCCACATCTTCCCTCCAACATGCCAGCAGGCATGCGAATTTACCAATGGTGGCAGCCTTGAGATTCTATGAGGACAAAAACAAATTCACACAAAAAAGGCCATGTGTTATGGTTGACAAGACACCCAGCGGTAAGGAGTGTATGTCCGCGATGTTGTCCTCCTAGTTATTTTCTAATTGAAAAAGGAATGATACTTTGCGAATGGCCTGGTAGAACCCCTCCGTTTAAGTTATCCCGGCAAAAGGGAATGCGGAAATGTGTTTTCTAAACTACGGGCAATTTGATGAAACATTCTAAACTAATCCTGCATGTATCAGCCGGAGTATATCAGGAGGTAGAATTCTCAGAGGTGCTGGCATGTTTGCAGGAAGATGTGGCGCAACAGTTCAGCTGTAACAATTCTCTGTAAGCCACTCATCTTCCTGGATGGCTTCGGAACAAAAAGACAAGGAGGGGTGTGGCGAATTTGCCAAGTAAATGCTACAGTGACGGAGCAACGAGATTGTGACGCGTGGTTCGCTGTGGAGCGGACTAACCTCGAAGAACAAAAATTTCCCCTCTCGGGTTGGAACGGTGAAAAACCCTTCTGTAATAGGGCTAAACGGTACCTCTGAGATTAAAACGCCAGTAATGGTTACCACTAATCTAAAAACCCTTTTTTGAATGCCGCAGCCCTTAATGCGCCGTCATTGTTTGTCTTATTTCTCCTTATTGGACCCTACACATGCTGCCCAAACCAGCTGCCCTGAAAAAACGTAGTGGCACCTTAACAAAACAAGAAAACGGGTACAGTCAGGGGGGGTCGACCGTTTTGGGTAACTTTGGGCATGCCGTACATCGCGGGAAAGAAGGTCGACCGTTTGAAAAAGTTCTTAGTTGCCGTCAAAGCGCGCGACTTCCTCACTCTCTCCTCAACCCAGCATTTCCTCCTCCCTTCAACCACGTCACGAACGAGACTGCAGTTTTTCACAAGAAGACCAGCAAAACGGTGCATTTCCGCTCACCTACCATTCTGTATTTCACCACATTTCACGATCTCAGAGCCGAGAAGGGGAATGCATCCCCCTCCTGATTCCTATCCCAGCAAAGCAATTCTCCAGCAGTCTGCTGCTGCGATTATTCGGCGTAGCTCGTTTCGCGTGCTGCATTCTCGTTAGCTGACACCCCGCGCGCTCTTACCAGCAGAGCATTTTATCAACGACCAGGACACTGTATGCAGCAGTAATCCCCGTGACGGGGCGGTCATATTTGTCGGTGCGACACTAGAAGAGCACCGTGCTTATGTTCGTGACGAGCTCAGCACGCTATATGACTTTTGAGTCGACTCAAAAGTCGAACTCAGCACGCTAGAGCCCGCTTGTGCTTTGCGACGGCCAGCGGTTGGGGCGTGATAGGACATCCATGGGACCCCTGCCCACTTCAAAGCATTAAGCTCTCACGCAAAGCTCCCGTTTAACTCCCCGGTTACTACGACTGGGAACTCCACTGCACGACTGAGAGTCGCACGGCGACAAAGAGTCGCACGGAGAAAACGAGTCGCACGGATATAAAAACTCGCACGGAGATCAAAAGTCTCACGGCGATAAAGAGTCGCACGGAGATAGAGAGTCGCACGGAGAAAAGAAGTCGCACGGAGATAAGGTTTCGCACCGCGAGATAGCGAGTCGCACGGCGAGATAAAGGGTCGCACGGCGAGATGGGCGCCGAGGGAGTCAAACCGCCGCCGCTGCAGCTGCCGACGGAACAGGTGGATCTGATCCGCGCGACGTTCGCATCCAAGATCGAACCCGACGTGTCTAAACACGCCCTCGAACTGTACATCAAGTAAGTTCAAATGAGTGCCATATTTTATAACCTGAGTTCGTTTTCGCGTCGATATGCCCACATTGCTTCCCCGCCTTCCGCCTTTGCGCGTATAGCGTTCCCCCCAAAAAAAGAGAGAACACCACTTGGTGGTGGTTTTAGCCATACGTGGCAGCGGGCTGTAAAACACTGTTGTTTTAGAAGAAAACTTGCTCAGAAAAACTCTCGTGAATTTGTAGGGCAAAATTGATGGTATAACGTTCCCCCAAAAACAGTTGTTTTGGCGTCAGCCCATTTGAGGTAAGTTGGTTTTTGAAAATTCCAAAATGCCTGCTTAAATTACTTCTCCGCCTTCCGCCTTGGCGCGTCTGGCGTTCCCCCGATAGCGCTGTTTTTTGCGTCAGCCCATTCCCCCGAGCCACGCCGCCCCTTTCCTGCGCACATGCTGCCCATTCCCCCGAGCCACGCCGCCCCTTCCCTGCGCACATGCTGCCCATTCCCCCGAGCCACGCCGCCCCTTCCCTGCGCCCATGCTGCCCATTCCCCCAAGCCCCGCCGCCCCTTCCCTGCGCCCATGCTGCCCATTCCCTGGAGCCATGCGAACTAGACCCATCTGCTCTCCTTCCCTTCCCCACGGGTCTCCTGCTTTCCTGACGCCATTGTTCCTCATCCCTCACCTCATCCCTCACCTCATCCCTCACCTCATCCCACTCACACATCGTTCCTTCTCCCTGTGACATCCCTGTGACGTCCCTGTGACGTCCCTTGAGGCGCCTAAAAAATTGAACCCTAAGCCCTCAACGCAGCAGTCAATCCGAATCCCCTTGCTCACTGCAGGCTGCTTGAGTTGATCCTCGAGGCGGCTCAGACGTTCTGCATGACTCGAAGGGCCAAGGAGCCGCACCGAGAGAACACAACCCACTCAGCGGCACCTCCTACTCACATCCTTGTACCTGCTCCCTCGTCCCTGCCCCGCCATGTCGCCCGGCCTGCAGGCTCCTTGAGTTGATCCCCGAGGCGGCTCAGATGTTCTCCACGACTCGAAGGGCCAAGGAGCCGCACCGAGAGAACACAACCCACTCAGCGGCACCTCCTACTCACATCCTTGTACCTGCTCCCTCGTCCCTGCCCCGCCATGTCGCCCGGCCTGCAGGCTCCTTGAGTTGATCCCCGAGGCGGCTCAGATGTTCTCCACGACTCGAAGGGCCAAGGAGCCGCACCGAGAGAAGAAGCTTGTACGTGGTCAGAGGCATCGCCTACTCACATCCTTGTACCTGCTCCCTCTTCCCTGCCCTGCCCTGGCACTGCAGGCTTCTAGAGCTGATCCCAGAGGCGGCTCAGATGTTCTCCATGACTCGGAGGGCCAAGGAGCCGCACCGAGAGAACAAGCTCCTGCAGGCGCACGCCACCACCGCCATGAAGATGGTGAGAGAATGGTTCATTTTGCAGGTGTGCAGCGCAGCGGTGAAGCTGGACCTACAGAAGGATGCAAGGGCTTGAAACTGTCCCCTTCCCGTGCATGTTGATAGGTGCTTATACCACCGTCCCCTTATCGATCACTTCCCACTCCCACCCCCCTGCGCTCCCTCCCACCCACTCACCAGGTGTACAGTGCAGCGGTGAAGCTGTTCCAGCAGAAGAATACAAGGGCTTTACGAGGATGGACTCGTGCATGCTTATCACTTCCCACTCCCACCCCCCTGCACTTCCTCTATCCATCTGTGCAGCGCAGCCGTGAAGCTGGACCAACAGAAGGCCCGATTCCCATCGACTTGCCCTGCCTTTCACTTACCAGATAACTTTTGTGTCGAGTCAAAACCCTCACCCTACGCTCATGGTTCCCGTCAACCTGCCCTCACTTCCGCTCACCAGGTGTGCAGCGCAGCGGTGAAGCTGGACCGACAGAAGGACGTTCGGGCTTTAAAGACGTCTCTAGCAGATCTTGGTTCGCGACACCTGCTGTTTGGCGTCACAAGCGAACACGCCCCGGTATGTTTGTTTGACTTGTGGAGCATGGAGTGGCGTGCCTTGTTAGTGATGCAGTTTTTAACACTCCCCGACATGTTGTAGTTCTGAACAAACCCCAAGCACGGAATGGTTTTCCCTTTTACCCTTCCCGTGCCATCCCTCCCTCCCTGTAGTTGCACACCTCCATCTTTCATTTGCACACCTTTTCTATGTATTCCTTTCGTGCACACATCCATTATAAATCTCTCATTGTTCCTCCTCCCCCCTCCCTCTCTCCTCTCCCTCGTGTGGCCCGCCCTCCTCCATATTGGTATTCCACAGAAGCTAAGAGCTGCATTTGTGGCAGTTCTATCAGAAGCCCTTGGAGAAGAGTGGGGAGGAGACGTGGAGAAAGCATGGGTAGCTGCGTATAATGCCATTGAATACATGTTCCTGGTTGGGTTTCTAGGTTTGCAAGAATAACCAAGAATGCTGAGACATCACGCAAATTATTTATTCGTTTTGTTCCTCTACCACCACGTGAGTGACATGTAGTAGCACACACCAAATGAACAAGTCAGACTCGTAGGGCTATAGTGAGAGCTATTACTTAGACACACTCGCTAAAAAAAGGGATTTACGGGCTTTCGTACTGTATCGGCGGTATTCTTACCGACGCGTTTTGATATCAGCGCAATATGCGGCAAAACACGTGTGTTCTCGTGAGCTGGTCAGGGTTCTGCCCACGTCAGGACTTGGCCACGTCAGGACAACGCCTCGTTAGGGGGCTATCCCCTTCGGGCCGCCAGCTCAGCTAGGGCAGGGAGATTTCCAGTTACCGCCCCAACCTGATACAGTTTTGTGTGGGATGTGGAAGAAACGTGATGCGAGCTGGTCAGTCAGGGTTCGGCTAATAGCTCTAGAATAGCATCCGGTCAGGTGGGCCAACGACATAGACTGATTCCAGCCGTCGGATCAAGTCATAATGGAGAAATATCTGCCCGTCGAGAAACTGCCACCACAAGATGCATCGCCTCCCCCAATCCTAGGACTCAAATTTCACACCCTTGCAGCCCAAGATTGAATTGGAGTGGAACTTCAGGTTTCGAACTCAGAAGTCTGTTCTGTAGTCCCACCACTCCACACGGCATTCAGATGCAACATACCAAACCGCATTCCACCTCTCGAAACCTAAGGTTCCACCGCCCCAACTCCACTGGAAACAATAACATTTCAGCTTCTGTTGTAACTGCATGATTATTTCCTCACTACTTTTGTGTGTGGCAGACACCTGCTTTTCCCAACTCAGCACACGCCAATCTCATTGCCGCGTCGCCTTGTCAGGTTTCCACCACTCCTCGGCTTCCCTCGCCGCGTCACCAGGTCAACATGGCATGCGCGCGCAGCGCGGCTGTGGCTTCCAGGGCGGCACCAAGCGGCAGGCCCTGCCTGGGGGACCACACCACACCACTCCTGGCAAGGCTTGGCTGGACTCTCAGGAGTTGGGGTGGGACCTGTCAGGTCAGAACTCAGGCGAAGGAGCAGGGCAGGAGAGAGCCGAATGTGTTCTGACGCTCTGAAGCCACTGGGCCAATCCACCGAGTTCGACTCGATACGGACCCACTTGACACGTGGCGCTACTAGACCCAAGCGAATTAGTACTCTTCGACCACTGATCCATCCTAGTAGAAGCGTCCATTCGATCGGCCTTGAGCCTACTATCTGTGTACGATGACTAGCACGCGGCGCGCTAGCTAGATTGCACGAATCACGACAGCCAGTCGAGAGTCGACCAGAGGATACTCGTTCGAAAACAACGGGGGCGGCTCGACGCTTCTGGAGACTAAGAGACGCATCTGCATACTAGCTGTGGGTCTTAGATTCCTCGAGATCCGCGGTTATCGTGTCGGGCGGCATCATTGCCAGTGGGAATGGCGGCTACTACTCTATCGGCGCCTGTCGCGGTCGTCGCCGCCGCGATTGTGCTGCTGATCGCCGCGCAAGCAGCGGCGGCGGCGGCGGAAGGGGAGGATTCTTGCGGGGTCGGGATGGTCCCGTGCCCGAGCGGGTCCGGGTGCGTGCGAGCAGATAAGATCTGCGACGGCGTGTTCGACTGCGAAGACGGCAGCGACGACGGCTACGACTTCTGCCTGTCGTTCGACTGCGGCAGTATCGGGAAGGTGCGTGTGTGGGAGGAAGAGGGGGGGAGGAGGTAGAGAGAGGGAGAGAGAGAGAGAGAAAAGGGAGACTGCAGCAGCGTCGGGAAGGTGCGTGCGCTGGAGAAAGGGGAGAGAGCGAGCGAGGGCGAGATGGAGAGAGGGTGAGAAGAATAGGAAAAGAGGAGCGAGGAAAGAGGTGGGGGGAGAGAGATAATGGTTTAAAGAGAGCATTGTATCGCTCTATCGGCGATCTTCCCCTCACCTACCCTCCTCTTCCTTCCCCTACCCCCCTCTTCCTCACGCTTCCCCCTGTTTCTTAACCTAACGGCTACTACTGCGACCTCAACCTCTCTACTCCCCACACTCTTTTCCCTCCTCGCCTCCCCCTCCAGACGTGGTGCCGGGAGGGCTACCAGTGCTACCCTCGCAGTGGCTACTGCGACCTCAACTACGACTGCACGGACGGCAGCGACGAGGAGCCCGAGCGCTGCTACTCCATCTACCAGAGCAAGGACCTCTGCGCGCCCAAGGGCCTGGTGAGTTAGTGACTGACATGTGTTCTGGTTGGTTGTTGTTTGAGTCTAATCAAGGATTGCAGCGGGCTGCAGCGGGCTGCAGCGGCGCTGAAGGCAGCGACGAGGAGCCCTACCAGAGCAAGGACCTCTGCGCTCCCAAGGGCCTGGTGCTCTACTAGTAGCACACCCGTCTTTGTTTCTGCTGCCGTTGTTACGGCCGAGACGTCTCTGCCCCGCGTTTCTCCGCCGCCGTTTCTCTGCCGCTTTTCCTCTGCCGCCTTCTCTGTGCCTTTGTCCCATTCCCTTTTGGGCTCCATTGCTGTCCATTCCCATTCCTTCATATCTCCCGTTTCTTCTGGGCTTGAAAAACACGTCTTTCATTTGACAGGTGCCCTTGGCGCCTTCTTCCCCTTTTTTTTGTAGAAGTTGAACTCCTCTCCGTGGTCGGTTCCCGGCTGCTGCATGCGCTACCTGGTTCAACCTCCTTCCCGCCCATTCCACTTCATATCTTTACCTGCTGACGATTTCCAGCCAACGACGTGGGTTACTGCACGATCAGTCTGCAGGACGTGTGCGACAGCATCCCCCAGTGCTGCATTCTCTACCTGCATTCCGAACCACGCCTAACCTCCCCATGTGCTGTCTCTGTTCCCCCCCCCCCCCCCCCCCCCTTTTCCAGGTGAAGTGTGCCAACGACGTGGGTTACTGCATCAGCCCGCAGGACGTGTGCGACAGCATCCCCCAGTGCTCCGACGGCTGGGACGAGCTCAACTGCCTCAACCACACGTGCCGCCCCGGCCAGCTGCAGTGCCCCCTCACCGGCTACTGCACCCAGGGCCGGCTCTGCGACGGCAAGCCGGACTGCTGGAGCGACAAGGGGGTGGAGGACGAGGACCCGGCGTTCTGCACGGGGCATGTGTGTCCGGAGGGGTGGAGAAAGTGTGGGGATGGGCTGCAGTGTGTGGAAGCTGGGAAGTGGTGCGACGGTGCTGTGAACTGCTTGGATGGGAGTGATGAGGGGGCGGTTTGCGCTCCCCCTCCCCCTCCTCCGCCTCCTGCCACTGAAGGGTCAGGTGGTGGTTCAGGTGCTGAGAGCGGTTCAAGTGGTTCAGGTGCTGAGAGCGGCTCAGGTGGCGGCTCAGGTGCTGAGAGTGGGTCAGGTGGCGGCTCAACTGCTGAGAGTGGCTCAGGTAGCAGTTCAGGTGCTGCGAGCGGCTCAGGTGGCAGTTCAGGTGTTTCCAACAACAGCAGCACTCCAGTTGTGTTGAGCAAGGAGGAGGTAGCCAGGCTGAAGAAGCTGGCTCAGGCGAAAAAAGCAGCAGCTGTTGCTGCGAAGAAGCAGAAGATGGAGGCGAAACGGGCTGCTGCTGAGGAGAAGGGGAAGCAGCAGGAGGCACGGAATGCAGTGATTGAGGCCAAGGTGAAATCTAAGGCGGATAAGGAGGCTGCTGTTGCTGAGAAGAAGCGGAAGCAGGAGGAGAAGAAGGCAGCGATTGAGGCTAAGAAGAAGCAGCAGGAGGAGAAGGCAGCTGCGATTGCAGCGAAGAAAAAGAAAGAAGCTGAGAAGAAGGCGGCGATTGAAGCTAAGAAGAAGCAGCAGGCAGAGAAGGCAGCGGCTATTGCTGAGAAGAAGAGGAAGCAGGCTGAGAAGGCTGCTGCGATTGAGGTAAAGAAGAAGAAGCAAGCTGAGAAGGCGGCAGCCATAGCAGCTAAGAAGAATGCAGCCACTAAGTGATGAGCAGAAATGGTTGCCTGTATATATAGTGTTGTAGAAAATAAGAGGGATGTTATTCCACTGTACTACAGGTTTGCTGCATGTGACTTCATTTGTTCTGTGCTGATTTATGTATGAAAGGTGTGTTTCTTCCATTTCCATGCTACTACAATTGTGTGAACTTCGTCAAATTCCACCTCTATGGCATTCATCCGTCCATAGATTGTCCGTTTACTCCTAGCACTTATGCATTTCTTGTTTGGATATGTTGTTTCTCAAATTGCTAGGCTTAATTGAATCCCCCTAGGTAAGTTTCGCATTTTTGGACTTCATATTTCCATATAAACGAAATTCGAATGTATCTGAACGAGGTCGCAACAAGAAGCTGTTCTCTTCAACACGTGCCAGGAATATCTGCAGACAACTTTGTGTTCGCCAGCTGGGTTCTTCCCTCCCCTCATCCCAGTCCGCCTGGGGATTTGTTGCCATTTTCTGCCCCACACACGCCAGCCCCAACAAGACCAGACCCCGTCACACACGCCACCCTTGCCACGTCTGCAAAATTCGTCGTTCCTCGTCACTCGAATCCCTGCTCTGTTGCGAGCCGCTATCAGAAATAGCGTGTCTCTGTTAACAACTGTACATGCGCGTGCTTCCCAGCTGCGCCGAACACTTGCGCCCATTTCCGAGCTACCTGCTGCAGGGTGCTGCCTACTGTACATCACACACCCACCACACACTTCAGTTCTGCTCCCCAAGTTCCCAACCAGAGCGGCCGTGTCAGTGACTGTCGTTCGTTTGAGTGGGGAGAAACGAGGGTACACATGAAGTCCTTTTCTGCCCCAAGTATTTTTCGGGCGGGTGCTCCAGAGTCGAGCACATACTTTTCACGGGCGAATTGGGCCAAAAAAGGGTAGTCTGGTTACCTCATTGGCATTTTCCCGTCTAAATCGGGTGACCATTGTTGTTTGTTTTGCGTTTCTCGGGCAACAGTGTAAGGTTTGCGAACGTCCCGTCTGCACGTTTGGAGGCCTCCGCATCAGATGTGGTGAAGTTGCAAATCTTTGGGCCTGTGTCGGTTGGGCCGTTTCCCGTGCGTTCGAATCAATGAGTCTGTAAATAAACACGCGGCATCTAATGAATGGGCGATTCACTGGACGTCAGGTGTACTGTGCAGAATTCTGCCTTTCCGCCACTGCGCTCCTCCTTTTACGAACGCGCGGATAGCTGGAGAACTCGCCTCCTGGCTGATGCAGGGAGAAGCACGCGGTCGCTCACTACACTCTAGCGGGGACTCTAGTGGGGACGCTCTCCTAACAGTAGTCTGTGACGGAATCCCGTGTGGCCCCGCCGATGGATCCCGCGGGGGCGGGGAGGTGACCGAATGCCTCCGATGCAGCGCCTGCTTCCACTTTGGAGTCATATCCGCTTTGCGCCACCCACGAGCAACAGCTCATCCAACTTGGGTAGTGAGTCTATCGAGTCTATCGATACACTCAGTTGGGAGGAGCCTTCGTTTTCCACCAGAGCTGAGCGTGTGTAGTGCGTCGCTGGGAGATCAACTTTACCTGAACTTTCAGGGGCTGTTTGGATTGATTCGAACTTCGGTTGAGTTTTGATAAGCCTTTTTCTAACAAGAGCATGATGGCAGGACCGCTCCTTCCCTTCCTCCCCTTTCTCCTCCTCCTCCTTTCCCGCTCCATCGACGCTCGACCCACTATCGACGCTCGACCCACCATCGACGCTCGACCCGCCCTCCCCGCCGCCCTACTCACCACTCGCCCCGCGGAGCGGGCCCTTCAAGCCGCGGACTGCGCGGAGGGAGAGGAGCTCTGCCCCGCGGGCGGCGGGACGTGCGTGGAGTCCGCGCGACTGTGCGATGGCACTCCCGACTGCCCTGACGGCAGCGACGAGGACTACAACGTCTGCTATCTCGCGGAGCATGGGTCGTTTCCGCCCGAGGAGGAGCCGCTTTGCCACGAGGAGCAGCGGGAGCTGTTCTGCCCCAGCGGCGGCGGGTGCGTGGACGAGCAGCGGATGTGCGACGGCAAGCGGGACTGCGCGGACGGCAGCGACGAGTCTCCCACCTTCTGCAGCAGCTTCAACTGCGAAATCTTTGGAAAGGTACGCTCAAGATAATTTTCACCGTTTCCCGCCACTTTTTGAAGGTCATTTTTTTGTTCATCCCTGCCCGTCCTCCTTCCCCTTTTCACTGTCCAGTCAGCTCAGACGCCACCCTGCCCCGTTCTCTCTCCCCCCTCACCCCCCTCACCCCCCTCACCCCCCTCACCGCCGCCAGGACTTCTGCCCCTCGGGGACCGGGTGCATGCCCAAGGGCGGCGAGTGCAACGGCGTGCCGGACTGCTTCGACGTCAGCGACGAGGGCCGGCAGTGCCGACCCGCATACGACTCCGCGTACTGCAAGAACCAGGGGCTGGTGGGGTGCGCCGACGACGCGTACACGTGCCTGAATAAGCTCGACATCTGCGACGGGGTGTCCATGTGCGGTGATGCGTCGGACGAGGCGAATTGCCAGAGCCACGTGTGCGAAGACGGGATGATCCAGTGCCCTAAGACGTTCTACTGCGCGGCTGGGACGCTCTGCGACGGCGTGCAGGACTGCTATATGACCGGGGAGGCGGAGGACGAGGATAAGGCGTTTTGCCGGGGGTACACTTGCCCGGGTGGGTTCAAGAAGTGCGCTGATGGGCTGCAGTGTGTGGCTGAGGAGTTGTTCTGTGATGGGACGGTGCACTGCAATGATGGGAGTGACGAAGGTGCGGCGTGCGCAGTGACCACTCCGGGCAGTGACAACACTACTGCTCCCCCTGAACCTGGAACCGGGTCAGGTTCATCTGAAACGTCAGCAAACAGCACTGCTTCGAGTGGGGGTAGCTCGTCATCGGGAGACAATTCATCGTCTGGCGACCCTGTGGTGCTAAGTCCAGAGGAGGTGGCGAGGCAGAGGAAGGAAGCAGCAGCAAGACGTGCGGCTGCTGTGGCTGCCAAGAAGCAGAAGGCTGCTGCTAAGAAGGCGGCTGTGGAGGCAAGGCGGAAGAAGCAGGAGGAGAAGGCTGCGGCTATTGCTGAGAAGAAGCAGAAGCAGGAGGAGAAGGCGGCTGCCATTGCAGAAAAGAAGAGGGCGCAAGCAGCAAAGGCTGCTGCAATTGCTGAGAAGAAGCGGAAGCAGGAGGAGAAGGCTGCTGCGATCGCAGCTAAGAAAAAGAAGCAGGAGGAGAAGGCGGCGGCTATTGCAGAGAAGAAGAGGAAGCAGGCTGAGAGGGCTGCTGCGATTGAGGCGAAGAAAAAGAAGCAAGCTGAGAAAGCGGCAGCCATTGCAGCCAGGAAGAATGCAGCAACGAATTGATCAACACGCCTGGACTGTATTGTAGAATGTTTTAGGAGGCTGTTAGGATTGAAGCCAAGAAGCAGACTGCGTAGGTGGCTCCCATTTTTGCCTGAAGGAAGAGATGGGTTGGGATAGCCATGGAGATGTTATATAATATGTGTTGATTAGTGCATATTTTGTACTTGTATTGTGTGAAGAATAGGTTTTTGGAAGTTGATCCGGAAGAAATTTCAGACTTACCGTTTGTAAACCAACCTTGCCTATGTTCTTATTTTATTTGTAGCCGCTTATCGTCATAACGTGTAAAAGCGAAGCTCATCACTGCACCCGTATGCGTTGTAGCGGCGTCACATCCTTGGGGAAGCTGGTTTCTGCTGTGTCGCAAGCTCCTGGCAATTCTGAGTCAGCATCGCCAGCTACCATGGCACAACCGCACCGCATCTGCTGAAATTTATTGGGGATATATTCTCCAGATTGACACAACAGCGACGCGTCCACCCGCTTTGAAAGGGGCCCTTCCCCACCCCTCCTCCCCCCCCACAGCGCCTGCCCCTCACTTTCACCGCAAGGACGAAGCTCTTCGTGGGCCACAGCCTTTCGCTGCACCGTACTGCAACGTACCATAACGTACCAAACCGTACTCATCTACCGTTCCCTCCCCCCTTCCACAAGACAAATCTGAAATTTCCACACACACACGGGACTGAAATCCCCGGAATTACCCATGGCTGGAAACTGATTCTCCAGCACATTACGACTGAACCCCCAAGCCAACGTGCCTCTTCTCACCCTCCTCCCTCCCCCCTGCAATTCTATTCCTCGGCTGATGTGCTTTCACGTTTCGTCATTCTTCAAGCCAAGTCTCACGCGCGGGCTAGGTCAGTCTGAGCCGGTCAGACTTGGTAGGCCGCAGTCATAGCATGCAGTTACTGCCTACCAACCACCGCGGCCTTGCACACTGTGCGTAACTGACGGGCAAAGTACAGACCATGCACTGACTCCGTACTGTGTTTAGTACATGCGCCAGCCAGCTCGATTCTCCCCAAGTAGTTGTATCACAGTCCGATGCTCTGCGGAGCGTAATGTTATGCTCCTTACTGCGCCGTAAGAACTGGAGGGCACGAGAACCGCATCAGCATCGCTAGTAATACTAGTACCCTCCGTGACCGGAGAGCACTCTGCCCTAAACCCGAATTGCGAAGAGACGGGCCGTGATCGGATCAGGCGAAAGGTCGTCCGAGTCGCCAAGATCGTCGTCGTTAACTTAGGTTGTATTTACCCTATTTGAAATTTATCACGCGACCGCAATGGCTCCGTGCAAGCCATCTGATACCCGACGGCGTCGAGGTCGTGCACGACGCCTTCCTTACCTCCAACGACTCTTTGTCGGGCCGAAGAGACCCTCGCTATTAGCATCATTAGAACTGATCCTTCTAGTAGCGTTCCAGAGCATTCTCCTCGCCGCCATGACGTGTCTGCCAGCAGTTTCTGCGGCGCCAAGCTCTAGACCGGTTTCTGCTACTAGTAGCACTAGTAGTAGGAGTATCGCGAATGCTATGCCTGGGTTTGTTTCGCCTGCTGGCTCGTATTTTGGGCGGAGGCGAAGCGCGCTGGAGTGTGAATCCGGGCTCGCCACGTGTCCGAGCGGCAGCGGTTGCGTGGACGCCTCGCTGCTGTGCGATGGCACGGCGAACTGCAACGACGGGAGCGACGAGGATGCGACGTTTTGCGCGTCGTTCGACTGCTCCAGCGTCGGAAAGGTACGACGGCGATGAGTTTGAGTCAACTGCCCTACGTTTTCCATTAATTTTAATGTCCATGCCACGGCAGGGGACAAGCGCGACATATAGCGTCGAATATCAATGGTTAAATGTGCATTTCTGTAATTTCTGTATTCTTCCCCCTGGATTATTACAGGAGATGTGTCCAGGAGGCGGGCAGTGCATGAGGAGCGGCGGCTACTGCGACTTCACCCGTGACTGTAACGATGGGAGCGACGAAATCGAGTCTGATTGCTACTGGCGCTACATCGCAGGCTACTGCGATCGGATGGGGATGGTGAGCATGGAGACAGTCACTCACCACCATCACGACGTTTTTGGAAAGTTGCAAAATACGAGGCAAATTCAATCTTGTGTTGCTGCTGTAGTCACAATCGGCAAAGCATCGTAACGCATTCCCATCCCATCCTACAACATCATCACATCATACCGCCTGACATGACGGGGCATCCTCACATCATATCGCAACGGGTTAACCATGTGCATCTATTTCTTTTCCTCCCACTGTCATGACCCCCTCGCTCCAGATCGCCTGCCCCATCGACCCCTCTTACTGCGTCCGCGAATCCGATATCTGCGACGGAATGCCCAACTGCGACGGCGGCTGGGACGAAACCAACTGTCTTTCCCGGCCCTGCCCGGCCGGAACTTTCAAGTGCCCGAAGAGCGGCGTGTGCGTTGGTTCAGGGACCATGTGCGACGGCATGCAGGATTGCTACATGAGCGCCGAACCTGAGGACGAGGACCCGGAACTCTGCCAAGCCTATTCGTGTCCGGAGGGTTGGAGGAAGTGTGCGGATGGGGTGCAGTGCCTGCAGGAGGGGCGGTGGTGCGACGGGGCAGTGGATTGCATAGGTGAGATGGGGGGCTTGGTTGGTGGGGGCGTGGGGGGGTCGGTCGTTGGGTTGCTTGGTGGCATGACTGAAGGATGGGGTGCAGTGCGTGCGATGGGACACTGCACTGCATCGGCATGGCATCTCTCCCTGTCTCCCCTCGGTCACTCCCTTCCATCGCTCTCACCCTCGCTGTCTCCCCTCTCTCCCCCCTCTCCCCCCTCTCCCCACACACTTCCAGCCCCTATTTCCCCTCTGTCTCGCGCGCCCCTTCTCTTTCAGCCCCTCATTCTATTTCTCCAGTCTCGTTCTTTTTCTCTTTTTCTTTCACTTCCTCTGGGCCCTCTTTTGCAATGGTCAGTATAACCTCTCTTCTCCATCATCTTACCGATTATTATTCTCTATGTAAACACCTTTTCCCCCTCCATCCCCCCTCTCCCCTTCCCCCCCCCCCCCCTCCTCTTCCGCCGCTTCTTCCCCCATCCAATCCAATCAGATGGCAGCGACGAAGGTGCGACATGTGCAGTCATGCCTCCTCCTACCCCACCCACCAACACCACCCCTCCTGTTACTTCAAACGGAAACACCAGCACACCAACCAACAACAGTAGCAGCAGCAGCAACTCCACTGTTGTGATCCTCTCCCCGAAGGAAATCTCGAGGCTGAGGAAGGAAGCTGCTGCTAGAAGGTCTGCAGCAGTTGCTGCTAAGAAGAAGAAGCAGGAGGAGAAGAAGGCTGCTGTGGAGGCCAAGCGGCAGCGGCACGATGCAACTGAGGCAGCAAAAGAAGCCAAGAGGCTTGCGAAAGAGGAGAAGGAGGCGGCCGTTCGGGAGAAGAAGATGAAGCAGGGGGAGAAAAAGGTGGCGATTGAGGCTAAGAAGAAGCAGCAGGAGGAGAGGGAGGCTGCGATTGCAGTGAAGAAAAGGAAGGAAGCTGAGAAGAAGGCAATGATTGAAGCTAAGAGGAAGCAGCAGGCAGAGAAGGAGGTTGCTATGGCTGAGAAGAAGAGGAAGCAGGCTGAGAAGGCTGCTGCGATTGAGGCAAAGAAAAAGAAGCAAGCTGAGAAGGCGGCAGCCATTGCAGCCAGGAAGACTGCAGCCACGTAGTAATCACCATAGAGGCTAAAGAATGTCGTAATAACAGCATATTATGTTGATTAGTCATCACAGCGGTCCATGTGTTGTATATTTACTTGATTTGAACTGTATAGAAAACGCTGGTTTTATGTCTCATACAGCTCAGCAATGTTATTGTTATTCAGATTATGCAAATCTTTGTATACATTATAACCACTCTGCCGTCGTGTCCATTGCAAGAACTGTAAAGGGATTCGCGTTGTAGAGCGACAGGCTCTTCCTGAAGAGGCTCTTTCTGGCAAGCACCACGCGTCATCCACGCTCTGGCATTTCCAGGTCAGCGTCGCCAGGTTCGGCGTCAGATGCGGCAGCCAGGTCGCGCCGGGTCTGTGTAGTCTTCCCTTGGAAAATAGAAACCCGGATTGAAACAACAGCGACACGTCTCGCTGAGCATAGCTGGGGGGAACATTTTGCTCAAATGGCTGTTTTCGAACGCTTACCACACTGCACCGCGATCTTATCTTACCGCATCACGTGAAACCTCTTTTTATGTCTGATCTGACCCTGTTCCTCACGTATTGCCCTCCCCTACGTACCTGCCTTTCCCTTCCCTCCTCCCCTCCCTCCAAGGCTAAGAATGAAGCACCTCGCAGTCAAATTATTCCTAAAATTCTTTCCAACGCTTTACTTTCCACACGAGGCGTTTATTCTCCGTTCCTCTTCCTCCTCCCACGCAAGCCGCGGCGTAGCCAGTATCTCTTTGTATAAGAAGGCAATTCGACGCGATGTCGACTTCGTCAGTTATAGAAATCATACTACTAGTAGTGAGAACACCATCATGCCCAGGCTCAGCGCGAAGCAAATCGCGAAAGGTTCAGCAAACGTCGTCATGGCTCTGCGAAACCCCCGGCGGCATCATTCCGATCCGCATGCAGAGTCCCGCCACACGACAGTGGCATCCGCCATTCGTTACCTCTTCGGCTCGCCGGTGCCTCGCCGCACGACATTGCCTTCCGGCGCCATTCCTGACCTCGTCGGCTCGGAGTCTCGCCCGCCGCGTCGTATGATCATTCCTTACCTCCGAGGAGTATCGGAGGTGATTTTTGAGTCGACTCAAAAATCGCGTCGTATGATCATTCCTTACCTCCGAGGAGTCTCGGAGGTGATTTTTGAGTCGACTCAAAAATCGCGTCGTATGATCATTCCTTACCTCCGAGGAGTCTCGGAGGTGCAAACCCAGACGCCATTCCTCACTCTTCTCCTCAACCTCCTTCTTAACCTCCTCCTGGTTGCCTCTCTTCTCAGCGACGCCTCCGCGGCCCGTCCTACTATAACTAACATGAGCCCAGCTTATCTCACACATGCGAATTTTGGTTTCGGCGCGAGTGCTGCTAACAGAGACAGTATTCTGCGATCTGCTTTCAGAGCACGATCGTCCGTAGCCGCGTTGTTCGGACGGCGAAGCGCGCTGGAGTCCGATTCGCCATCCGATTCGCCGTCCGAGTCGTCCGAGTCTGAGCCGCCGTCCGAGCCGCCGTCCGAGTCGTCATCCGAGTCGCCGTCCGAATCGCCCGAGTCCGAGCCGCCCGAGTACGAGTACTACGAGCCGCCGCCCGAGCCGGAGTGCGAGCCCGGGTTCACGCGGTGCAGAACTGGCGGAAGGTGCGAGCCCGAGTGGATCCTGTGCGACCAGTTTCGAGATTGCGACGACGACAGCAGGGACGAGGACTGGTCGTTCTGCTCATGGCGGTGCCACGACAAAGGAATGGTGAGGGGCAGGCTGGAATACGAATGGTGCTTGTACAAGGATTGGTACCGTACAGGTCTAATAGGCAAGTGTCACATTCCAAAGGAACCGGGCCCTCGCCTCGCGACGTGGTACATGGCGGGACTGGTAGGCAGCTAATTTCTAACAAAGGGTGACTTAGATCGTTTATGAGACGTCTCAAAACTAAACTTCTATACCTATCTATAGTACTCCTCCCCCTAGCTACAGCATGTACATCATTTATGAGGCCGTGTCTGGAGAGCGTGGAGTGCATGAGAGCAGACGGCAGGTGTGAAGGCGTCCGGGACTACATCTGGGGCTGCACTGCTAGTATTCCACTCCACTACCAGGAATTCCTCTCCCCTCTCCCCTCCCCCTTCCACTTCACGACCCAAGAATCCGCTCCCGTCTCCCCTCCCCACGTACCACTTCACTACCAATGTAACCGACAGAGGATGCGCCCCGAGAGCGTGCAGTGCATGAAAGCCGACGGTATGTGCGACGGCATGTGCGACGGCATGTGCGACGGCATGTGCGACGGCAGCAGTGACTGCACTGCTGGCACGCCAATTCAGTACCAACGTTCCCCTCCTCTCCCCCCCCACCGCTCCCCCACCCGCCCCATCCCCCCCCCCCGTCACTGTAACAGAGGATGTGCCCCGAGAGCGTGGAGTGCATGAAAGCCGACGGCATGTGCGACGGCAACAACGACTGCTCGGACGGGAGTGACGAGAGCTATTCCCATTGCCAGTGGCCCAACTTCTTCTGCGACCAGGGCATGGTGAGCACCAGGGGATGGTGAGCACCAGGGGATGGTGAGCACCAGGGGATGGTGAGCACCAGGGGATGGTGAGCACCAGGGCATGGTGCTCGGATCTTATCCCATCTTATCCCCTGTTATCTCATCTTATCCCATCTTATCCCATCTTATCCCCTGTTATCTCGTGTTATCCCATCTTATCCCATCTTATCCTGTCCTATCCCGTCTTATCCGTCTTATCCCGTCTTATCCCATCTTCTCCCGTCTTATCCCATCTTATCCCATCCTATCCCATCTTATCACACTCAAGCACATGATATCCCATGGACACCGCACGACGCTTGGCCACGGTATACCTTGATATTATATCCCACGACCCAACGCCTGCCCCCTTGTATGTCACTGCGTTTTGAGTCTCCTCAAAGCTCAACCATGCACTTCCTCCCCTCCCCTCCGCCCCCCCAAAATCAGATCGAATGCCCCCTTGACAAGTTTTCCTGCATCCAAGAGTCCCAAATCTGTGATGGAGTTCCCAACTGCGAGGACGGCTGGGACGAATCCAACTGCACCTCGCTGCCTTCTACATCACCTACCAACTCCACCGTTCCTACTGACACCACCCCTCCTACTGACACCATCCCTCCTGCCGACATTGCCCCTCCTGTTACTTCGAATGGAAACTCCAGCTCACCCAACAACAGCAGCAGCGGTGGCATGAGCAATGGAAGCAGCAGCAGCAGCAAAGGAACTGGCAAAAAAGGCAAGAGAGGAACTGCAAGAAAGGCTAAACAGAGGAAGGAAGGTGCTGCCACCCCTCCTGCCGGCACAACCCCTCCCACTGACACCACCCCTCCCACTGACACCACCCCTCCTACTGACACCACCCCTCCTACGGACACCACCCCTCCCACTGACACCACCCCTCCTACTGACACCACCCCTACCACTGACACCACCCCTCCTACTGACACCACCCCTCCCACTGACACCACCCCTCCTACTGACACCGCCCCTCCTGCCGACACCGCCTCTCCTGCCGACACCACTCCTCCTGCCGACACCGCCCCTCCTACCGACACCGCCCCTCCTACCGACACCACCCCTCCTGCTGACACCACCCCTCCTGCCGACACCACCCCTCCTACCGACACCGCCCCTCCTACCGACACCACCCCTCCTGCCAACACCACCCCTCCTACTGACTCTACCCCTCCTACTGGCACCACCCCTCCTACCGACACCGCCCGTCCTACTGACACCGCCCCTCCTACCGACAGCACCCCTCCTACTGACACCGCCCCTCCTACCGACACCCGTCCTACCGACACCACCCCTCCAACCGAAACCACCCCTCCTGCTGCTTCATTTGGAAACACCAGCTCACCAACCAACAGCAGCAGTGGCGACATCAGCCGTGGAAGCAGCAGCAGTAGCAACAGCAGCAAAGGAACTGGCAAAAAAGGCAAGAGAGGAACTGCAAGAAAGGCTAAACAGAGGAAGGAAGCTGTTGCCACCCCTCCTGCCGGCACCGCCACTACTACTGACACCGCCACTACTACTGACACCGCCACTCCTACTGACACCGCCACTCCTACTGACACCGCCACTCCTACTGACACCGCCACTCCTACCGACACCACTCCTACTAATACCACCCCTCCTTCTGACACCATCCCTCCTACCGACACCACCCCTCCTACCGACACCACCCCTCTTACCGAAACCACCCCTCCTGATACTTCAAATGGAAACTCCAGCTCGCCAACCAACAGCAGCAGCAGTGACAAAAGCAGTGGAAGCAACAGAAGTAGGAGCAACAATAACAGCCGAGTTAAAGTTACAATGGAGAAAGCAAAGAAAGCCATTGTAATCGCTGCAAAGGAGGGGAAGATGCAGTGAAACTCATTTCTTACATGTTAACGAAGTAATAGTTTTATTATAGATTTTCGTTGTATAATTTTGTTGTAATAACATTCCTCTTCGTCTTCCTTTTTGGTGTCATAGTAGATTTAGCTATCCATGTCACGTAGTAGTTGATCGTATCTATGTCACGTTCACCAATATCGGGTTTGGAAAGCAGACAAGATTTGGGAAGAGAAACGCCATGATGAAACAGCAGCGACGCGGGATTTTCCCCAAACCTGCCCCCCAGGCTCCAGCCGCAAAGAAAACGAATTGTAGCCCACAGAAACGCCCAACTTTCCCATGTGGTTTCTGTACCCTCAACCGAAACAACATTTTTGCACAGCAGTGTACCTTGCTGTAACGCATAGACAATGATTTAACCACACTTCAACGCTCAATACCCCGAAATCCACCGTTTCATATTCAGATGCACGGACAGCCCCCATGGAACGCTCGCCCCACTAGCCAGGAGGAGCACGCATGGAGCATGACCTCCCTGTGTCAGATTCTGTCCCCTAAAAGCCGAATTCGGCCAGGGGGTGGCTGGAGGCAGTGGAGTGGAGTGGTGGTGGCTGGCTCCCCCAAGTCTCCACCACGTGATTTTGTCGAGGCTGGAGGTGTGGCAGTCTGGTCCCAGGCCAGCCTTCCCTTCGCGAGAGGGCGTGTATCCCACAGTTTCGTCGGCCTAGTTCCGAAACTCAGTTCCGAACACCGAGGATTTAATTGGTTGGTTTGTGACGAATCAGTTGGCGAAGTCGCGCGCGAAGAAGAATGTAGCCGGCCATTGGACCCGAACTCAGACGAAAATGCTTTTCGAAACCGCAGGCTACATTTCCTTACAGTAGTGTGCCGCCACCAGAACACGCATTCGGTCAATTACCGAACTTGTACTTACTCTCCTCTTCCACTCCTAACTCCTGATCCCGTCTGTCCGACTGACGAGCTCTGAGATTCCCCGAATTCGCTGCTAGGCAACTCTGCTGACGAGAAAACCCTAGTACTAGCGCTATTTGCAAAGTTCGCCGGATTTGCGTCGACGGGAAGTCTCGGGGAAACGATAGTTCAGGTTCGAATCTAGGCCATCCATAGTCCTTCGAGTCGATCGACAGCCCTCGATGCGCCTTTGAGCATTCTCAAAATCGGACAGCCCTTTAGACATTTGAGTCGACTCGATTGAGGTCATCTCTTGAGAGGTGTGGTTGAGCAATTTCCGGGCCGCAGTGCTACGAGTGCGGCTCGCATGTCTCGTCCGCCAATCACGCATTCGTGGCGGATGTCGTCCTCGTAGCGGCGAACGACGGGGTAACCATTCATCTGCGACGAGTCCGAGTCGGTTAAACGTGACAATTTTTTTTTTTTTTTTTTTTCCAGAATGACTACTACTAGTAGTAGAAGTACTACAGTACATCCACGCGCTGTAGCTGTTTCGCAAATAGCTCGTATAAACAGTGCGTTCGCGAGCTACTAGTTGCGAGGGAGGGGCCCGGCCTCTAAAAGTTCTCCTTACTGGCGATTACGACTCTTCTTCGCGACTCTTCAACCGCGGAAGCGAGCAAGAGGCGCAATAATCAATGGCGGCGTGGGTGACTGCCAACCGAGCCGCGTGCTGCATTCTCCTCCTTTTCTCACACTTGTCGGCGTCGAGAAGCGCCTTTTCTTACGCGTTTAGACCGCCGGTTACACAGCCGGTTTCACCTCCGGTTACACAGCCCGTTGCACAGCCGGTTACACAGCCGGTTACACAGCCGGTTACACAGCCCGTTACACAGCCGGTTACACAGCCCGTTACACAGCCTTTTACACAGCCCGTTACACAACCAGTGGCTGCACAGGCGCTTCCTCATTCACCATCCCGAGCGAACGCGGAAGTTACCATAGCAGTAGACGGCTCGTGGGGAAGTGACGATACTGTTTTAGGTAGAGGTCGGGAGTTGCTGCAGTGCGCGGAGGGGAGATTAACTCCGTGTCCGGGCGGCACGGGATGCGTGGACCGCGCGTTCCTGTGCGACGGGATTCCTGACTGCGGCGACGCGAGCGACGAGGATGCGACGTTCTGCGACGCGTTCGACTGCAGTAGCGTGGGGAAGGTGAGAGAAGCGACGACGCCGTTAGTTGTGTGGCGATTACATGGGTATCACCTGCGAGGGTTCCGCGACGTTCTGCGGCGCGTTCGACTGCAGCAGCGTGGGGAAGGTGATAGGGGCGAGCAGGACGGTGAGAGGGGCGAGCAGGACGGTGATAGGAGCCGGGGCTACTACTAGGGCTGTTTTGTGAGTGGCAAGTACTGGGGCCACTACCTGCGGTGCTATCTTGTGCACCAGGAGGGGTGCACCGCGGTGCAGTGCGGCGGCGCATGCTGTTGGCCCGGCGAGCGACCAGGATGCGACGTTCTGCGACGCTTTTGACAGCAGCAGGTTGGGGAAGGTGAGAGGCGAGGCGACCTGGCAAATGTGGTAATCACCGGGGGTATCACCTGGGGTATCACCTGGGGTATCACCTGGGGTATCACCGGGGTATCACCTGGAGTAGTGCGTGAGGAAAGAGGGGGGGCTTGTGTGACTTGAATCGAGACTGTAGCGGCTCTGCAAAACAGGGGAGCAGTAAATCTCCTACCCTGTCAATGCGTTAACGGATGTGATGTGTCATGTGTCATAAGAGGATGTGAGTCATGTGTCATAAGAGGATGTGAGTCATGTTTCATAAGAGGATGTGAGTCATGTGTCATAAGAGGATGTGAGTCATGTGTCATAAGAGGATGTGAGTCATGTGTCATAAGAGGATGTGAGTCATGTGTGATAAGAGGATGTGAGTCATGTGTGATAAGAGGATGTGAGTCATGTGTGATAAGAGGATGTGAGTCATGTGTCATAAGAGGATGTGAGTCATGTGTCATAAGAGGATGTGAGTCATGTGTCATAAGAGGATGTGAGTCATGTGTGATAAGAGGATGGGAGTCATGTGTCATAAGAGGATGTGAGTCATGTGTCATAAGAGGATGTGAGTCATGTGTCATAAGAGGATGTGAGTCATGTGTCATAAGAGGATGGGAGTCATGTGTCATAAGAGGATGTGAGTCATGTGTCATAAGAGGATGTGAGTCATGTGTCATAAGAGGATGTGAGTCATGTGTGATAAGAGGATGTGAGTCATGTGTCATAAGAGGATGTGAGTCATGTGTCATAAGAGGATGTCGGAAGCTTCTCCCTTGCCTCGTGGCAGCGCGCATGCCGATTCGGACACAGGATCGCTGGTAATTAGGAGGAGGGTATTGTCGACAACACCCTCCGGCTACGACTACTGTTCTGCCACTGCGACTTTTCAAGTGTGACTGTGCCGATGAGAGTCAGAAGCCCACTTCTCATTGCCGATGTGACTGTGCCAATGTGACTGTGCCTTCTCATCGGAGCCCTTCCAAAGAACTTACTGCGAAGAATATTTCGCCTTTATGCCCGTGCCATGATCGCAGGAGATCTGTCCAGGAGGGGCGGAGTGCATGACGGCAGGGGGGCAGGGGGTTTCTCCATGACTTCAGCTGCGACGCGACTGTAACCATGGCAGCAATACAAACGGCTCATTCTCCTGTACTCCCACGTCAATGCCCGTGCGAATGCTACAGGAGATGTGTCCAGGAGGCGGGCAGTGCATGCCGCGAGGGGGCTACTGCGACTTCAACCGTGACTGTAACGATGGAAGGGATGAGGGGGGGGAGGAGTGCGGTGACTACTACGAGAAGGGGTACTGCCTGCGACAAGGCTTGGTGAGTACGACTCAATGTTATGGTGATCGATTGTTGCGTTCACAGTGTGCATGGTGCATGATGCATGGTGCATGATGCATGGTGCATGGTGCATGATGGGGAGTGTGATGAAGGTGATGAGGAGTGCGGTGGCTGCTATCATGAAGGGGGTACTGCCAGCGACAAGGCTTGGTGAGTAGTCCAGCTCGTGTCATGGTGAGTAGTCCAGCTCGTGTCATGGTGCATACGCATGGCGATGCAGCATGAAGACAGTGAGCATGACCCCATGGCACAACGAGCATGACCCCATGGCACAGCGAGCATGACCCCATGGCACAGCGAGCATGACCCCATGGCACAGCGAGCTGGGACGAAACCAGCTGCTTCCAAATCCTCCCCCTTTACCCATCCTGCTCCTCTTTCCTCCCTCCCTTTCGCCCTTCCGTCACCAGCTGGAGTGTCCCCTGGACCCCACATACTGCATTTCCGAGACCGACCTGTGCGACGGGGAGGAGCACTGCCTAGGGGGCTGGGACGAGGCCAACTGCCTGCCGCACCCGTGTCCCCACGGCTGGCTCAAGTGCCCCAAGACCGGTTACTGCACCCCAGCTGGTAACATGTGCGACGGCGTTACGGACTGCTTCGCGACCTCTGAGCCTGAGGACGAGGACCCGGACCTCTGCCGAGCCTACTCGTGTCCAGAGGGCTGGAGGAAGTGTGCGGATGGGGTGCAGTGCCTGCAGGAGGGGCGGTGGTGCGACGGCGTTGTGGATTGTGAAGGTGAGGTGGGAGGAATGGGTGTGGGAGGAATGGGTGGTTCAGGGGTGATGCATTGGGTGCAGTTCATCTACGTTGGAATAAACGCGTTTGGCGTTTTAAACGCTAGCATTTAAACGCAAAACGCTTAGCCAGGAGGGGAGCAAACGCTAGGAAAACGCTGGCCCGGGCAGGGTTTTAAAAAGTTTCGAGCAGGGCAAAAAAACGGGCTTCTGGGGGGGGGAAGGGGAAAGGAAAGGAAGGGCGTGAAGGGCACCTTCATCCACCACCCCCATTAATAAAATATTAAAAGTTTCAGGGTACATTCACAAGCCAACCTAACATCCATCCATCACATCACACACACCTACCCCCTCTCCTATGCAACACAACCAGGATGCGTCTTCCCTACAACCAGCCGCTGCGAGTACTCCACTTCATGCTGTGCAACACCATGCCGCGGGCAAACCCTGACACCAGCCTCCCCTGCCACCCCTGCCACCTCTTCCCCCCCCAGCCCCTCCCTACCCTCCCCTCTCCAACTCCCTTGATCCTCAAAACTCCACTAACAATACTCATCATCCAACTCTTTGCCCCCCCCCTCCTCCTCCACCACGTCCTCCTCATCCACCAACAAGTACCCCTCTGGAAGCGGGAGGTCAGGGATGTTCCCAGCCACAATTCCAAGTCCCTCATCCTTCTTGTGCCAGTTGCGCACAGCCCCTCAGTTGTGCGCAATGTAAACAGATCCTTCAGCTTCTCCGAGCCGAGCTTGTCGCGCCGAGCAGTGTGGACCGAATCCCACTCTGCCCAGTTGCGCTCGCATGCAGAAGCAGACACCGGCTGAGTGAGGACACGGCAAGCAAGCTTGGCCAGCTCCGGGCAATCGGTGCCGTGCCAGGTCCACCAATGCACCATGCAACCCTTCCCCTCCTTCACGGCCAATCGATCTCTAATGGCACCAGGCATGCCAAAGCTGCCCTCGAGTTTCAGGAAGAACATGAGTCCCTCCTGCAAGACGAGGGTGGCGTGCCTCTCCCCCACACCCTTCCTGGTAATGGTCTGTCCCTCGTAGTGGCGGGAGATGAAGTCTTTGAAGACTTTGGTGCACTCCACATCATCCAGGAAGATCTCTTCCACCTGGTTGCCCGGATTAAGGATCCGACCAACCACGTGGAGGGGGCAGGCAAGGCTGCCATCCCAGCGCGTCTCGACAAGCTTGTTAATCTCCCTTTCCTCCCCCCTCGTCAGCAGCTCCTGCCCATCCTCCCCCTCAAGCAGCTGCTTCACATCCACAGTCAGCTGCAGCATGTGATCATAGATTCTACCCATCATCCCTTTCGCCGTGGAATCGGTTGCTCGCATCGCCATGAATGGCAACTTCATCAGCTTCACAAAGAAGGCAGCCGCCTTCCACCAAATCTTGTCCTCGAGGTGGGCTTGGAAGGTTTCCCCTGCACTCCTCCGCACCCCCGTTGCCCACAACTCCCACCCCTCGCTGTGCACCATCTGTAGCAGGGACAGTTTGACCTCACAAAGCCGAGACAATGCGATAAATTGTGTCCCGAACCTCATTCCGGCCGGACGCACCACCTGCAAGCCCTTTCCGCCTTGCACCTCTGGACTCCTCAAGAATTCAGGCGTCCAGTGATGCTTCCGAATGTAAGCGATGATTTCGCCGCCCCGCTCGACCACCCTCTTGGCCCAAGCCATCTTACCCACATCCTCCATGAGGAAGTCGAGCACGTGCGTGGCGCATGGCACATGCTCGATGTGGGGCCACTCATTGAAGATCTCCTAGTAGGCAGCGGCGTAGTTGCTGCCCCCATCCATGCAGAGAGCAAACTACGTTCTCCGCTCCGACTTTCTCCACTATCGGCCTCGGGATACTAGCGATGTACTGCGACTTAGTTCCTGCGAGGCCGATGCACTCCACGGCGTTGCGTCAAAGAGGGTGGTCCGCGAGGTGCTCCGGGAGGCGAAGGCCTGCGAACATGAGGCAGATTGCCTCGTCCGCAGCCTTCTTCGCATCCGCCTTCTCGTCGCCAAAGAAGTCGGTTATGCGGCTGCGCTTATGGCCGCTAACCGCTTCAATGGCGGCTGCCTCGGCGGAACGGATGTCTTCGGTCTCCTGAAGCCTAGCTTCGTAGTGAGCGCGGACCTCTTCAGCCACCTCCTTTGTTACCGCAGTGCAGAGTTTCACCTCACGGCGGCGCCCCCCTGTCCAATTCGTGAGATGCTGAGCCAAACGCCCCACGGATCTGCTAAATTTGTGCGTGCAAAACTTGCAGACGTACTGCTTACCGCGCGCGCTAGAAACTAAGGGCACTCTGAAGTGCTGGTAAACTATGTGCATGCGATCTTCCTCAAATTGGGGAGAACTTGAGGCCTCACCTGAGGCAACTTTAGGGTTACTCGCCATTGAAGTAGGAGTTTCGCCAGCATCAACCATAGCTTAGCATAAAAGAAATAAGGAGTTGGAAAAAACGAAACACGCTGAGATCTAGGGAAATGACGTGAGGAGTGAGATCCCGATCTGGGTTTAGCACTCTGGTTGAAGTCTACGATGCCTCTCTGTTGAAGAGAGGGTTTGTAGAGAAGTGGTTGGGTTGACTAGATAATTTGTGGTCTAGTGCGGTTGGGTATTTTTCGGGGGTTGGGAGTTGGGAAGACATCTTGAGATTGCAGCTGGCGAGTCATTCCGTTTTTCCCAGCTCGTCGCAAACTGGTTTCGAAATTTCAAAATTTCAAGATATTTTTTTTCGCGGGCAGCCTGCTCTTGCGTTTGCGCGTTTGCCTAGCGTTTGGGCGTTTGTGTTGGAATGTTAGCGTTTGAACGCAAAACGCTTGGCTGTTCGAGCGTTTTTTCCAACGTAGCAGTGCATGCAGGAAGGGCGGTGGCGCGATGGTCTCATTGACCATGAATGTGAGTGCTGTTGGTGGGGAGGAAGGAGCTTGCGAGAGATCGTTGTGAGGCTGCGTTTACATAGTCCAACCTGAAAGGCTTCAGGGAGAAGAGAGATAGTGATATTCACTTCATCTCCCTCCCCTTCATGCACTTTATTCAACCCCCTCCCCTTATATTTCCCTCCAGTGTTCTCCCCTTCATTCCCCTTGCCCTACTCCCCATCCCATGCGTCCCTCACTGCACAGATGGGAGTGATGAAGGGGCTGCATGTGCTGCCCCCAGCTAAAGGTATCTTCACCTTATTCCCCTCCCTTCATCTCCCCATCCCATGCATCCCTCGCTGCACAGATGGCAGTGATGACGAGGCTGCCTGTGCTTCTCAGCTAGAGGCGACTTCCCCTCCATCCCCTCCAGCTAGTGCATTTGGCACGAAGCTGTTCCGCTCCCTGACATTCATTCCCCTCGCCCTTCTCCCCATCCCATGCATCCCTTGCTGCACAGATGGGAGTGATGAGGGGGCTGCCTGTGCTGCCCCTGCCACTAACACTGGTGGCACCAGCAGATCAACCAAGAGAATTGGCTCATCCAGAAAGTACACCAGCACCACCAGCAGCAGCACCAGTGACACCAGCAGCAGGACTAGAACCGATGTTGTATCACTTGCATCCATTGACGGTCCTATTGTGAGCATAGAAGGCCTGGTTTCAAAGGCTGTGCTTGTTGCAGAAGCTAAGGCAGAGCGGGCTCTGAAAAGAGCAGCTAAGGATGCAAGGAGGAGGAAGAAGGCAGCGGTGGAAGCAGCTAAGGCAGCCAAAAGGCTTCGGAAGGCGAGACGAGAAGCGGCTATTGAAGAAAAGGAGAAGAGATTAGCGGTAAAGAAGGCGAGGTTGGAGGCAAAGGAGAAGAGGAGAGCAGCCAAAGAGGCCAGACAGCGAAAGAAAGCTGCGAAGGAAGCAGCAATTGCGAAGAGGAGAGCAAAGAGGAAAGCTATGAAAGCTAGAGCAAGAAAGCGAGAAGCCAGAAAAAAAGAGACGAGGAATTTGGCTGAAAGGATGTAAATAGGTTTCATGTTGGTTGTTTTGTTCAATTAATGGTTTGAGTGTTTTTTTTATAATTGCATTTGGCATGAAATTTGGATGCATCTGGAAATGTTGAAAGCTAAAGGCTTGTATGACGTGCGGTATACAAAGGAACGTCTTGTATTTACATCTGACACATGGTCCGTGTCAGTCGCGGGTCGTGTGCGTTTCAGCGGGTCAGACGCTCCCCCGCCGATACGGGCAACCAGCCTACCATCATGCTCGATCGGACGGACGAGCGCAGCCGTAGAGATGCTTGGCGCTGAACTTTCAAGAAGCAGCGCCTCGAGTTTTCCGCGGGAGGAAACTCCGCGCCTGGCCCCATCCCCTGCAACCCAACTGGGGCTTCGAGATCAGCGCCACAACGCCTTACAATTCAGCAACATCGCTCTATACCGTCTCCAACCCCGTATCCAGCACAGGCATTGGGAGCTCCAACTTCCCTCCCTACCTTGGGAACCTCCCTCCCTGTCTCAAGGGACTCCTCGCCTGCGTAGGGTATTCCTGCCTGTCTTCAGAATCCCAAGTTGGGACCTCCTGCCTCTTGGGACCTCCTGACTGAGTATTTGAGAGTAGCGCGACCAGCCGCATTTCCACCCCATACTAGTAGTGCATCCACCAGTGTCGATCCGCTCGTCAGCACGAGAGCCTAGAGAGCTCCTCCGATATTTGTTTTTGGCAACTGCCCAATATCCGACGAACTGATATCTCTAGGTATTTTTTAGCAGCTCATTTCAAATTGGTGACGTTCCGCTCGTCTAGTTTTTTTAGTTCCATCCTACCATAGCACTTTGGCTCGTCATGCTCGCGCAGATCTCCCCGAACGCGCGGCCTCCTAGTCGGGCCTCGCCTAGGTCTAGAACGTCTCCTTCGCTAAGCAACCAGTCTAAAACTCATATTCACGAGGTCGAGGAGCATACGGTAACTCGTAACACTTCGCTGTATTCGCGAATCGAAATGCAACAGCACATACCTGGTTACCAGTCCAGCGACGATCGCGATTATCCCAGTAACTCTGGTACCGATGTACGACAAGCCATGGAGATCAATGACAGGACTCAAAGGTCCCCTCGTACAGGGAACGGCTTGCAGTTTCACGACAGAGAAAATGCGGCGAGCGAGGTAGTCGAGGAGACAGAGGAGGCGAGGAAATGGCGCGCGGTGCTTCGAGTGATGACCGCTGATTATGTGAAGCTTGGTCGATGCCATGGATTGTAAGTGCGATCGCCCGAATTAGCTCGTCATGCTTTTTTTTTTCGGATTTTAGATTTATTGTTGCCTTGAGCATCATACGCGTCGCATCTGACGCGTGCACTGGTACGGCGTTGTGCACTCTTCGTTACAATGCGACGCATTGCCCTAAAGATGCGATGGTGGGAGCTGCAGGCTGCAGCAGGACTCGGAGCGGCGACGGGTGGAGATGGAGCAGCAGCAGCTGCAGGTGCTCGCGAGCCACAATCCAGTTCCAATCTCATAACGCTTTCCCCTCTATAATGCGATGCAGGCTGCAGCAGGACTCGGAGCGGCGACGAGTGGAGATGGAGCAGTTGCAGCAGCAGCTGAAGGAGCTCGCGACTCACAACGAGGTGAGCGCTTATCGCACAACGAGTTGAGCGCTTATCGCACAACGAGGTGAGCGCTTATCGCACAACGAGGTGAGCGCTTATCGCACAACGAGGTGAGCGCTTATCGCACAACGAGGTGAGTAAGTGAGGGGGTCGTGTCGTGGGGTGAGTGAGATGGAGCAGCTGCAGCAGCAGCTGAAGGAGCTCGCTACGCACGATTTGTGGGGTTCTTTCGCGTGAGGTTGGCTTCCATTGGCATGACATAGCAATTCCTCGGACGGAGACAGTCGGAAGAGATAGCAGCTTCGGCAGCAGCTGAAAGAGATGAAATTTCACGCCATGAGACTCGTAGGTGGGGTTCTTTCCCGTGATGCGAGGTGAGAGCTCCGCGCAACCCGTTGCATCATCCAATGTCGCATGAGGTGTGCACGTCACCTCAAGAGGAGAGCACCCTGAGCACCCTGAGGAGGTCTTATGCTCCTTCTCTCCCCCTCTTCCCCGTGCTCCTGTTCCCCCTCTCCCTTTCACTCTCCCCGCCAGACCCTCCGCGGGGAGCTCTCATCCAATGACGCGCGGGCGCGAGAGGCGGAGGCGCAGCTCCGCGCGCAGATGGAGGCGGAGCGGTCGGAGCTGGAGCGGGGCGCCGCCGTCGCTTCCGCGCGCGCGGCTTCTGACCTCCGTGCGACTCTTTCCGCGCGCGACGAAGCTTTTTCCCGCGAGCGCGCGGGGCTCGCGCAGCAGCTGGCTGACCTGCGGCGGGAGCTACAGGCGGAGCGGGAGAGAGAGCGCCCGTGCTTCGAGTGCGCGGAACGCGCCTGGCGGGACGAGGAGGAGGCAGAGGAGGAGGCGGAGAGGCGCAGGCGCAGCGAGGCGGAAGTTGCGCGCTGGCAGCAGGCGGCGGGGCTGGCGGCGGCGGGACTCGTAATAGAGAGCGCCGCTAAGGAGTATCTCTTAGACCGAGTAGATGATCTGGAGCGATCCGAAGTCGAAAGAGAGCAAGAGCAGCGGGAGAACGAGCGGAAGGAGCGGGAGGAAGGGAGGCGGGAAGGGGAAGTTCGCGCCCGCGTGGAAGCGGAGACCCAGCGGGAGCAGATCTTGGCGCAATGGACGGAGGAGCGGGAGGCGTGGGCGCGGCGGAACGCGGAAAAGGACCGGGAAGTTGCGCGGCTACAGCAAGAGTTTGCGGAACTAGGGTTACAGTTACAGGCGGCGGTGGCGGAGGTAGAGAGGGGGAAAGCGGAAGCCGCCGCGCAGCAGCGCGTGGTGGAGAACCTCACGCGCGACCGCCACATGCTCGCGCGCAAGTCGGAGGATCTGTCCGCGCGCACGGCGGCGGCGCAGAGGCGCGCAGCGGTGGCGGAAGAGGCGGCGGAGGTGGCGGAGGCGAAGGCGGAGGACGAGCGCGACCTGGCTGCGTCGCTCCAGCGAGAGTTACAAATGCTGAAGGCGAAGTTCCTGCACCAAGAGGCGGAGAAAGAGAAGCTGTGAGTGGGGGTTCAGATGGGTAAGAGAGCAATACAGCACGGTAGAGAGAGTTACAAATGCTGAAGGCGAAGTTCCTGCACGAAGAGGCGGAGAAAGAGAAACTGTTAGTGCGTGTTGAGATGGGTAGGATAAAAACCTCTTCAATTAGAGTGAGTAGGAGAGAAGACGACCGTGACCTGGCTGCGTCTCTGCAGTGAGAGTTACTGATGCTGAAGGCGAAGTTCCTGCACCAAGAGGGGGAGAAGGAGAAACTGTGAGTGGGGGCTGGGATAAAGACATACAGAGAGGACGGGCGTGACCTGCCGGCGTTGCTGCAGAGATGGTTGCAGATGCGGAAGGCGAAGTTCCTGCATTAAGAGGCGGAGAAGGAGAAACTGTGAGTGTGGGTTGGGATGGGTAGGATGTTCAGCTAGGGTGGGTGAGAGAGAGGATGAAAGCGAACTGGCGGCATCGCTGCAGCGAGAGTTACAAATGCTGAAAGCGAAGTTCCTGCATCAAGAGGCGGAAAAAGAGAAACTGTGAGTGGGGGTTGGTTGGTTAAGAGGATGATAATCGCTTGGCCGGGTCGCTGCAGAGATGGTTTCAGATGCTGAAGGCGAAGTTCCTGCACCAAGAGGCGGAGAAGGAGAAACTGTGAGTGTGGGTTGAGATGGGTAAGAGAGCAATGCAGCATGGTAGAGGGAGCTGCAGATGCTGAAGGCGAAATTGCTCCCCCAAGAGGCGGAGAAGGAGAAACTGTGAGTGTGGGTTGAGAGGATTCGATCTCCTGCAATTTCCCCTGTCCTCTTGTTCCGCTTTCCCCGTTGCCTGTATCTCGTCCATCCCCGGGAGATGGACGTGGCAGAGGCGCGCGACCAGCTGAGCGTGGTGCAGAAGAAGGATGTGATCTCCTTGTGTACCGGCCTCTGTCCTGCACTTACCCGTACTTACCCGTGCTTCCCCTGTCCCCTATCGCTCCCCCCCCCCCAGCGAGATGGACGTGGCAGAGGCGCGCGACCAGCTGAGCGTGGTGGAGGAACAGGATGCGATAGTGAGGAAGAACCTGCGAAAAGCGGAGGAGGAGGTGAGACAGAGGAGGAGGTGGGGTCCTTGTGGTAGTTGTGCTTGAGACCCTTTTGGTCCCATGATTCAAGTCAGTCGTCGCGCCAACTCATGTGAGCCGGATGGAGGGGCAGGATGCGATTGTGAGGAAGAACCTGCAGAAGGCGGGGGAGGAGGTGAGATGCCTCCCTGTGGCAGTGGTGGGCGAGATGCATGACTAGCCTGCCGGCAGAGCAGCATGTGAGGAGCAGAATGTGATCGTGAGGGAGAGCCTGCGCATGGGAAAGGAGGAGGTGAGGCAGAGGAGGAGGTGAGGTTTTCTGTGGTAGTGATGATTGAGATGATTGATAAGCCCTGGGCAGAGGGGAATTTGAGGAGCAGGATGTGTTGCTGGATGAGTGTGCCGAGATGCGGCGCCTGCGCAGGCTGACAGCTGGCCCAAGCCCCATCTCCCTTTCCGCAGGTCTGTCCGCCCCTCGTTCTCCGTGCAGCTGGATGTGTTATCAGGCGGTGTGCGGAGTTGAGGCGCCTGTTGATGCAGACAGTTAACCAAAACCTCTCTTCTCCTCTCCCCTCCCCCCCCTTCTACTGCTGCTGGATGTGTTGGTGGATGAGTGTGCGGAGTTGCGGCTCCTGCTGAGGCAGACAATGCTAACCAGCCTTACCTTCCATCCCCTTTTCTCCCCTTCTTTCTCCTTGCAGCTGGATGTGCTGGTAGACGAATGTGCAGAGATGAGGCGGCTGCTGAGGCTGACAGTGCAGGCGTTTGACTACCACAAGAGCTCCATTCTGCACCTGCCAGGGGTGAGTAGTCCTATGTGCACCTTTGTTGGATTAGGGTTCATCACCCCACTGCAGCTCAAGCCGACAGTGAAGCCATTCAGCACCTGCCAGGGGTGAGCACTGTCACTGTCAGTATTCTCACACTTGGTATAGTCACATCGGAGTTACCACCTCACCTGCAGCGGCTGACAGTGCAGACGCTTGACTACCATAAGAGCTCCATTCTACACCTGCCAGAAGTGAGATTTAAGGCTTGTCATGTTTCAGGCGTTTCAGATGTGACTTGTCTCGTATCCACTCCGGTCAACGTGGCTGGTTCGACAAAGACAGGGTTTCTCATCCCATTTCAGCTGAGAGACAGGGTTTATCGTCCCAATTCAGCTGAGAGACAGGTTTTAATCTTCCCACGTGGTAGGGTTGTCACAGTCAGTGTTTGGGGTGTGAGGATTCTGGTACCCAGGGTTGTCATTGTCACAGTCAGTGTTTGGGTCTCCACTTTATTCAGCCGACGCTGCCAGTGCAACCATGAGGAATCTCATATGCTGGAACTGCCGGGGGTGACTATTATCCCGTTCAGTATTGCTGCAATCGGATTCGTCACATCTCTCGCTTTTGTCACATTGGGGTTGTCTCCCACCTCTTGAAGCGGACAGTGCAAGCTATTGTCTACCCCTGCCTCGCTCTCCCCCTTTCCCTAACCATGCATCAGATGAAAAACGTGTTAGCTGAGCTCGTGATAGCAGCAGCAGAGCTTTCTTTGTGCTCATCCATCTTCTCCTTCCCTCTCTTCTTCTTCCCTCTTTTTCCTTGGCTCTTTTTCCCTTCCCCGATTCCCCGTGCTCTGTACTCCAGATGAAAAACCTTTCATCTGAGCTTATGACAGCAGCGGCGGAGTTTGAGGATGAGGAAAAGACAGATGGAGAAGGTGCTAGCTGAGGAGGGGAGGAGCAATCTGATGGACAAGGCTGAAGCAGTCAGGAGGTTATTGCTGTTCCTGCTTGCACAACAGGATGCAGTGACTTGAAGATGTGATGAGAGGTTGGTGTGCATATCTTCCAGTAACAATATCTAGGGTGGGGGGGGGGGGGGGGTTAGCAACAACATCCAGCATGCTTCTTGAAGTTGTAGCATACATCTAGTTGGCATATATGTATAGCTAGCAGCGACACACTTACCGTGGCACGCAAGTATCTGACCATGCTTCATTACTTCAAGCAACATCTTTCCGTGCCGATGGAGATCTAACTGATCCAAAAGTGGTTTCAGGCTGAGGATAAAAATGCGAACGGTTGTATGGACAATGCTAAATAGGAAGTGGAGGTAACCTTGAGTTTCCACAACAAAACATCTTTTTGCTTGAATCTATGTGCCTTGTCACTAAAGGGATAGTGAGGGAACCTGAATGCGAACATTTGTAGCCAAGGTCACAGTATCGAAACAAGGCACTGAATGGGCGCAGCTCGATCCGGAGGACAGAGCAATGAGTGGGAAAGGCTCCTTGGGACTGCACGTGCATGGAATGAAAGAAAGGCCATGGCCCTTGCAAGTATAGCCATGGCCCTTTTCGGCAAGCCCAAGATGGCCCGAGAGTCAGTTAGTTCTGTCCAGGATAATTCGTTGGTCAATAACACCTGGGTTTACGTCGAGGTAGCTTGGACACTCTCATGTCGGAGCGAAGCGTGGAGTTTTCTACCGCAGTGAGCATCACTCTGTAGTGATAACACTCGCTCGCACGCGAACCGGTCCCTGCCGCATGCGCGCGACAACCCCTGTGAACAGAGCCATGCATGCGCGAATTTGGTCACAGGGAACCCAGCCGATCGCGGATTCCCCCGCGATGTCATCGTCACAAACCTCGATGTCATCATGTTAGTCAGCGGTCAATAAGGAAGAGATTTAGAACCTATCTCGTGGAGAGGAGGAGTTTATTGTTGTGGTGTTTTTGCAATCGCCGTGACCTCGACATCATGGCGTCAGGTCTTTCTTACGGTTGCAGTCTGAGGCTTGCTCGACCAGACGGTTTCATACCTCCATCACTTTCACTGCCATCGGAGTTCAACTGCAGCACACTGAGAAGCGGCGTTGCTCGTACTCCTTGGATCAGAGAAAAGTGTACTGAACGAGTAATACTGCAGTCTATCCATGTTCAGAAGACGAGCAGTAAGGTTCTCAGCTCGGCAAAATCCGATTCTGATCTCCCTGCAACTCACGGCGATCGTGTGGAAGTTTTCTGGGACTACGAGAATCTTCCAGTCCCACATGGACGTGGAACATCCCCCTCACAGCTCGTTCACCAGCTCCAGAACTTCGCGAGTGACCTCGGGCATCTATCAAGGTTTAGAGCTTATGGGAAGTTAGCATCCTTCAGGGAGCATGATAATGACATTTGGAGCAGCAATATTGAGATTGTGGTGGTACCGCCAGGAAATAATGTGGCAGATGATGTTATACTGATGGATGTGCTCGGTACTTTTCATCCCAGTGCGATTCAGAAGAGATTCAAGGACAGCTATTTCCTGGCGCAGTAAGCGTGATTCCTGGTTACACGTCTTTCAGTGTTATTTATGTCTCTTCCCGATTCACTAATTCTTGCAATACTGTCCTCATTTCAGGAGGCTTCTTGACCTTCCTATTGTGGTCATCGTTTCTGGAGACAGCGGGTTGCTCTCATCAATCACCAATTTTCTCCGCTTGGGAGTGAAAGTGGTCTCCTTTTTCTCCATCGGCACTAAGCGGGATGTGTTGCGCAAGGAAAAGTGGTTCTCCATTTTGAAGGAGTCTGGCGTTTCAATGCACTACTGTGAGCTGACTGCAGGTTCAGTCATCATGTGTGGATTCTCGCTGGGACTGGCTAACCCCAACACACCACAGCTCGTAGCATCTCCACAGATGGACTCAACTGCCATCCATCCCACCTCGCAGCCTGACTCGGGGGTAAATGCACCTTCTCCTCCCCATCTTGGCAAATCCAGAGACTCCAGCCATCCCAACCAGCAGCTTGACTCAAAGGCATCAGCACATTCTCCCCCCCATGCTGGCTATTCAAGGCTCAAATACGAGTGCAGGGTTGTGCTTGGTGCGTATGGCTCATGCACTCTGGAGCAGTTCAAAAAGCTGTACACTGACACATTCAAAAAGCCGTTCAGGCCTCAAGAATATGGGCTCCAAGGAGTTAAGGATGCGAGCAATGCGCTGTGAGGTGTTGCTGATTTCACCGAACCCTCTCCCGGCCATCATGTGCAAGTCTCTCTCGTCGACTCGAAAGCCAATATGCTAGCTCTTGCGGTTATTCAGTCGAGGGTGAGAATCGTGGTTCATGAGATTGTGGAGGAGTTATGGATAGCCGAGCAAGTGGGTCAGCTGTCGATTGACTGGAGCAACGCAAACTTCTGGATTCCACTGAAGAAGCTGCAGGAGAAATTGGAGAAGAGAACAGGGGGGCAATTGGATAACCTTCCGGCTGTTCACGGTATCTTCAGGGGGATCTCCAGCAACCACCATCCTCGTCTGGAGGAGCGCCTGGTGCAGCTGTTGCGAGAGATGCCGGATGTAATTGAGGTGCAGGAAGCCATCGAAGAAATTGTTGCGGTGCGACTTGTTCAGAGGGAAAAAGATGTGCTGATTGGCCACTGGATGGTGAAGAGCGAGATGTGGGATGGAACTGTTGTTTACTAGTGTTGTAGTTTTCCTGGCACTGGAGTCTGCGCTGTGCTGCTCACTATGGCAAAGCAAGAGCAGAGTGTGTGTGGGATGATCACACCAACAGTAGACCAATGCAGGTACGGTACGTCTCCAATGCTCGTTGGATTCTTCCATGTTTACCCTATAGTAACCAACCTGTGAGAGCCTCATCCAAGTTACAATAGAGCTGCCCCTTGAAATAAAGTCAGTGCCTGCAAAAACACACTTACATAGCACAGCTTTACACTAGTGTTGATGCTAGCACCTCATACACATCATCACACGAGCTCCATCCTTTAGCCGCCCCTTTGATCTGCTCGGGCAGCTTTTCCTCCCAACTCTTTAAATCAGGTTGCAGCCCAGTCAGAGCAAAAATGTTTCGATCTGATCCGCTGGTGCAGCAGATCAGCACCTGCCCGTTAAAAACTATACGCATGGCCTCCACCACCTCGGCACACCGCCTCATGCCAGGATCACTCCTGGCTGCTGCTGCTATTGCAGCCTTTCTTGCCTCTGTGTCTGTTGCTGCCGCTTCTCCTGTCTTGAACCCGGCTCCGTCTGCTGCTGCTGTTGCTGTTGATGGTTCGGCATCAGGTTCGGCAGACTGGGTCGGCCTAGAGCTATGACTCAGGTACTCGCCGAAGCTGCTGCTAGGCCCCCCACAGTTGATCAGAACCCTACCTCCAGGACTCAGGTGTTTCTTCAGGTGCTGCCAGGTGGTTTCGTCTGCTAGCTGAGGGAGGGCGGCACCACCTGAGAAAAGGTCCACTATGATGCCACTGAACAGCTGCTCTTTACCAGCTGTAGCACTGTCTGCAGTAGCGTTATTTACTGTATGATTGTTATTGGCAGCAGCATCTACAGTAGAGGGAGTGTTGGCTTGTATGGGAACTGGAGCTGCTAGTAGAGCATCGCCTACAGTCACGAGCAGGTAGCCCCCTTGAGGGGAGGGTTGCTCTAAAGAGGTGAGGGCAAAGTACCGACGAGCCATCTCCACCACCTGAAGGGGAGGGGGACGAGGGAGGTGAGACACGGTGAGTGTGTGTGTGTAGGTGTGGCTGTGAGATAGGGAAAGAAAGAGGGAGGGCAACTCATGGGAGGGTTGCTCCAAGGAGGAGAGGGAGAGGAATCAACGTGCCATCTCCACCACATAAAGAGAGGTTGCAAGTCGTGTATGCTTTTTGAGTGGACTCAAGAATCACCTAAGGTTGCAAGTCGTGTGTGCTTTTTGAGTGGACTCAAGAATCACCTAAGGTTGCAAGTCGTGTGTGCTTTTTGAGTGGACTCAAAAATCACCTAAGGTTGCAAGTCGTGTGTGCTTTTTGAGTGGACTCAAGAATCACCTAAGGTTGCAAGTCGTGTGTGCTTGGACAAGAAGGGATGGTGGTACGAATGCCTTCTTGAAAACAAGAATATTGCTCCCGAAACCCAACTTCTTTCCCCCCTCCCTCTACCATTCTCCACCCTTCACCTTTCCCAAACGCTTTCCTCACCACTTGGTCAATCTCTCACTCCTGCAAGCTGACATCCAGCCAAACTGTCCTGATGATGCGAGCCAGTGAACCCCCCGCCTACCAGCTCTTCTCCTCTCCTTGCATCCACTCACCACTTGCTCTATCTCCCACGCCTGCAATTTAACATCCGGCCAAACTGTTCTCATGATGCGAGCCACAGACCCTTCCAGGAGCACCAGCAACCCCACTACCTCTCCCACACACCCCCAATTCCTCCTCCCCCCCCTCGACGCTTCCCATTATGCACTCACCACTTGGTCTATCTCCCTAGCCTGCACTTTAACGTCCGGCCAAACCGTTCTCATGATGCGAGCCTTCCAGGAGCACCAGCAACCCCATTCCTTCTCCCACACACCCCCGCCCCCCCTCCTCCCTCACCCCCTCGAAGCTTCCCTCCATACACTCACCACTTGGTCTATCTCCCACGCCTGCACTTTAACGTTCGGCCAAACTGTTCTTATGATGCGAGCCCCAGAGCCCCCTGCCAGCCCCAATAGAGCCACTCGATCTCCCACACACCCCCGCCCCTTCCTCCTCCCTCACCCCCTCGACGATTCCCCCCATACACTCACCACTTGGTCTATCTCCCATGCCTACACGCCAACACCCGGCCAAAATGTTCTTATGATGCGAGCGCCACGGAGTCCCCTGCCAGCCCCAGCAGTGCCCCTCCATCCCCCATACAACCCGATTCCCGTCGCAGCACTATTAGCACGCACTCACCACTTGGTCTATCTCCCACGCCTGAACTTTCACGTCCGGCCAAACTGTTCTTATAATGCGAGCCACGGAGCCCCCTGCCAGCCCCAGTAGAGCCACTGGGCCCTGATCATGTGACAATAACGGGGTGAGAGAAGCCAGGTTGTCCCAGTAGGAGCGCGTCCAAATAGTTCGCCTGTGATGGAACGGAGGTGGAGAAGGAAGAGGGAGGGGGGGGGGTTCAAAGGGGGGAAGGGATTGGAGCAGGGGAAGCGGGGAAAGGAAAAATGGCACGCGATGGGGGTTGTGGTATGGTATGGGCTGTTGGTACGATGCACGTGGGTGTATGGCAATGGGGATGATCACGTGGCATTAACGGGGTAGAGAAGCCAGATTGTCCCAGTAGGAGTGCGTCCAAATGGTTCGCCTGTGATGGTATGGTACCGAGGGGGCACCGGGGGGGGGGGGGGGGGTGGGGGGGGGAGGGGGGAGGTAGGGAGAGAGGAGAAGAGAGGGAGGGAAACGAGTTTTAGGGAAGACTTTTAGTTTTGGACGAGGGTAGTACCATGTTACCATGTTACCATGTTACCATGTTACCATGTTACCTTGTCAGATGAGGGGGTATTAAATGGTTCACTAAGTTCAGGAGGAAGAGGAGGGGACGCGCCGGTGGAATCACCACAGTGTCACCCACTTGTTGTACAGGCGTGACACGTTGCTGAAGGCGTGGTGCATTTTGAGTCGACTCAAATCACACCAGGAGGAAGAGGAGGAAGAGGAGGAAGAGGAGGAAGAGGAGGAAGAGGAGGAAGAGGAGGAAGAGGAGGAAGAGGAGGAAGAGGAGGAAGAGGAGGAAGAGGAGGAAGAGGAGGAAGGGGAGGAAGAGGAGGAAGGGGAGGAAGAGGAGGACTAGGAAGGGACGCGACGAATCACAAAACTTTCACCCACTTGTTGTAAAGGCTTGACACGTTGCTCGAGTCGTCCAATAGCATGATCCGCGACCCGGCTAATACCGACGAAGGATCATCACTGTCTTCCCCTTCCCCTGCTTCCTCCGCCGCTTTCTCCGCTGGCGGCTTCTCCGCGAATTCTAGAATCGTGATCTGAGAGTATGGCGTGTGCATCCACGCAAGCACGCGGAAGGTTCCCATCTCGCCCTCCTGCCAATCCCCGCCTGCCACGTCATCTTCGTCCGATACGGCAAATCCGGAATTGTCTGCTTTCGCTTCCGCTGATGCTCTCGGCGCTCCAGCTGCACCACGTGGGAATATTCGCGATTGTGGCGTCCGCGTTACAAGAAATGAACGTGGGCGGTCACGTAACGAGGCGGACCTATGAAATGGCGACGTAAGAGTGCAATGTGCATGGGCTACGACGGCAAGTGGACCTCCTAAATCCAAGCATTTTGTAGATACACCCCTAACGCGTCGCGATGGTGTTACACGTGGCAACGCAGATGCTGCGTGCGCGGCAATGGCGGGTGCAGCAGAACAAGAAGCCATAGAGACGGAACACGGTTGATGCTTCAGCGCAATTGCCGCTGGCTCCTTAGTGCCACCTGGCTAGCAGCAACTCTCAAGTTGTGTGGTGGTGAAGTTGAGCATTTCAATAACTGGAATTTTAGACGTTGCAAAACCAATGGGGACAGATCTTCACGGGTTTCATTATAACGAAGACAAACAGGTCGGAAGAGCCTGGGCCTTGTTCGTCAGCTCCTCACCTCAGCCGAACATCCGCATCCTATCTGTCTACTTTCTGGGGAACCCGTAAACGCGACACGTCACACCTCATCCATGACGCGGCTGTTGACATCCGTCGATCTCCCTGGATAATCTCAGCCTTCCAAACCATCCACTTGTCCTTCTCAGTCACTAGCGCTCCAGCGTGGCAGTTCGCACTGCTGGTTGACCCATAAAGAAGCGCGGGGCCAGATTTTTGTCCCCATACACGCCGAAGAGATACCTTTCACCAGATTCCTGGATGATGAGGTTCGCTGATTGGTTTGGTTTTTTGTTTCTGCGACAGCTGGACGGCTGCTTCCACGGTCGCATGAGCATTCCCCTCCCCGCCCTTCTGCTGGTGCGGGGGCTCCTCCGTCGCCAAACCGCCCCCCTCCCCGCGCAAGCATTTCTCCAGGAACCCCGCGGAAATCATTGCTGCTGGGGCTTCCAGCGCAAAACATCGTTTCTTGGCATGAATGCACCTCACGAGCGGGGGATAACAATACGTTACCGTAAGTTTCAGTACGTTATGGTATGGTCTGGTCTGAGTCCACGCCATGGCATGGTATGGCTTGTGTGTCCCGATGCAGTTCACGGTTGCCAGGGGGAGCATCTCACCAACCTTTCTTCTTTGACCTACGTGTCCAGCGCGTACGTTTGATTACAGTTCGGTGAGGTGCCTCACGGGTCAGAAGGATCAATAACGAATCTCAAACGGTTAGGTAGGGTTGTGACAAAAAACGTACGCGCTGGATAGCTCCTTGTATTCTTGTGCCTTGGTATGTGAGAGCACTGCCAGGCATTCCTCAGGCAAATTCACACTAACGTGGTGAGCTTTCTTCCCGCACACATTCACACCGGACATGTTCTAACCGCCGCTTCTGGTAGAATTCCTAGAGTCTTGCCTTCGCTACCCAGTTACAAGCTTCTAAGCACCGTTGGTACTAGCATTAGTTGTTCAAACTGCAGTCATTATGAGGCCGGACGACGACGAGCCTAACAGCACGACGCTGGTGTCCATACGGCTCATATCGGCGCACAACCTGCACAGAGCCAAGGTCTTCAAACGCATGAGTCCCTGCGCGGTCGTCTCGGCATACGGCGACGCTCGCTCCAGCCAATTCCTACCCCCCGTGAAACACGGCCATGCGAATCCCGTCTGGGACACCCTCCTAGAATTCTCCGTCCCTGACCATCTCCTGCGCTTAGACGTTCCGTCAGAACCGAATTCACAGGACGATAGCCTACCGAAGCCATTTCCGCACGTAGTAGTCAAGATTTACGCGTCTGCATCGTTAAAGACGTCCTTAGGTCGCGCTACGATACCCCTGGAGCAGGCAATCCGGCACTACGACCAAACGCACGTCCATTTCTTTCCTCTGGTGCGGAAATTCATCATCGGAGAAAGCGCGTGCGGAGCCATTCAAGTGGAAGTGAAGGTTGGACGGACGAGCTTCGCTCCGCGAAAAGGCACGGCGGCTTATACCGCGTTCGTGCGGACGCGGTCCCCCTTCTGTTACAGTCACAGAGCGCTCGATACGCTATCGGCGGCCAGGGCTACGCGGAGATTGCCGACGACGCCGTGCTGCGCCGAAGCCACGTGTCGTTGCCCGAATCACCGGAACGGAAAGTTTTCTGGGCAGCCCCCGAGAACTATTGTGGTGGAGAATCCTGATGGGTCGATTCAGGGATTTGGATTCAGACTATCGTGAGTGGATTTGATTGTGTTCTTTTTGCGTTTGTGTTGCTTTCGGTGTAAGCGTGTGTGTGTGTGCTGCTTGGTTTTGGAATGAATATGGCTCAATGGCCTTGGCGTGATCACTATGTGGAATGAAACAAGTGTAGATTCGTGTATTTAACGCCAAAAATCTACAATTTGCTTGTTTACGCGGAAAATGGAAACAAACACACCTAATCTACTAACAGACACGGAAATGGCTCCATGCGATGTGCCCCTTTCCTCGCAACCCCTTTCCTCGCAACCCCTTCTAAGTCCACCCCTTCACTCTCACCAATCCACCCCTTCAGCGTCCTTGAAGCATACAATCCCTCTCATCTCTCGCTGCCGGTTGTCCCATCCTCGCCCAACACCCAATCTCGGCTGCCTCCCCTCTGCGTTCCCCACCTCTCCTCTGCCCAAATCCGCCCCAAATTTCGTCCACATTGCGGCTGTGACCATTCTTTCCTCAACCCCCTCAACTTCCCCCTCCCCCTCCCCTATCACTCACTCATCCCCGATTTTTTCCAACTGACTTTCCCCTTTCGACTTCCATCAGCTTCCTTGTTCCTTTACCTCGCCCCCTACAGCTCTTTCTCCTCTCTATACCCCCCACCAATTTTCCGCCCACACCCTTACCCTACCACCCTCCTCCGCCTTTCATCAATAATATTTTCTCGCTTTCTCCTCTCCCCATGGCTCAGCCTGGCTTACCACCATCCGTCGGCCTGAAGTTTGGCCTCAGCCATTTTTTCCCCAACGTGTGCACAACTTGTGCGCTCATGCCCTTGCTGTTCTTCTCCCATCCATCTTCTGGGTTCTCGAGGTTTTAAAGCCGCGGTGCAGATATCGCCTGGGTTTTTTCAATTGTTCATAAATTTAAAAGGGAAGTTACCTGGTGCCAACTCGAGGTTGTAGAGAGAAAGTTGGGGGGCAACGGGAGAGGCCGTGTGCAAAAATGAGAGCGGAAGAGTGGTCACAGCGCCAAACTTGATCACACTACCAACTTTGCACTCCAAACGCCGACTTTGGCACACCAACGACCGCACGCATAAGGACCAGGGCTGTCGTTATCAGGGTATTTTACCCTGATTCCCTGATTTCACAGGGTATTTTTTTGGCCAACCCTTAATTTTCAGGGTTGGGTTTTTTTTAACCCTAACCTCTTTCATGGTTGTATGTTTGTGAACACTTCAAATTTCAGGGTTTGCGTTATCCCAACACTGAGTTTTCAGGGAGTAACGCGTACGAACCCTGAATGCGACATCCATGCGGACCCTGAGTTTCCTCGAAATGGCCCCCTTACGCGTGACGGGGCCCAGTCCATTGAACACGCCCAGCATGCGTCACGTGGGGAAACTGCACTCGGCAAGATTCCCGCTGTGTACACGCTGTATGTTGCCATTACAGCAACATTTGCAACCGTCAACTGGCATTCGTGACTCAGCACGCAGCAGACGAGGACTGAATATGATGAGCGCGGCAATGTCAGCCTCTGTATGACATCACCCCGCCAATCATCTCTGTGCAGACGACGCCAACTCAGGTGCGTCTCGCCGTTGACGTTATCGCCATGGCGATATGGGAACCTGGATGGGTTATGCTGTCAGAAACCCAGCCACTAACCACTGGGTTAAAAGGGCTTGTTGAATAGCGGGTAAGTGCGCCCATAGCCCCCCAGGCTCTGCACCTGTGGCCCTTCCCCGAGGATCTCAAGGGCAACCCCAGCGGGTCACTCAACACCCCCCCCCCCGCTGGGATAGGTGGAAGACACGAGCGCCTCTGCGGCGCTGGCACTGGGAGTTGAACCCAAGACCTTTGGCTCTGATGTACCATGTCAGAAACCCAGCCACTAACCACTGGGTTAAAAGGGCTTGTTGAATAGCGGGTAAGTGCGCCCATAGCCCCCCAGGCTCTGCACCTGTGGCCCTTCCCCGAGGATCTCAAGGGCAACCCCAGCGGGTCACTCAACATATGCACCATCCATGAAAATCGAAAGATGGGGCTTCTTGGTCCTCTTCCTGTCTTCTTCATCAGCTCCTCCTCCAACCCAGTTTTTTTCTGTTCTTCACGTCACAGCTACGAGATGCTCCAGTCTTCTGTCTCCTCTAGTTTCGTCGCGCCGATTTCTCATTTCCATCATATCCGCCGCTTCTAGCCATGGCGGATGTAGGAGACTCTGGTGAGTCTCCCACTGCAGACGATGGTTCTGGACTAGGTAGGGACCCCCCCGTGGAGGTCCGTAGATCCGCTCTAGACATCTTGCGGTCTCCCACCGCAGTCGTTACACCATCACAACCCGTATCTACTCCCGCAGCTCCCTATGTATCTCCGCCCGCTGTCGCCTCATCTAGCCGGGGCCCTTTGGTTCCAGACTGCGAGACAGCCACGACCGTGCGTTACACGGTCGAGTGTGCATCGACGATTTCATCTGGGAAGAAAGCACGCGTCGGGAAGGACACCCAGAGCACGATAGTCCTCGGCGGGAAGCTACATCGACGGTCGCCGCCTCGCACGTTGCCTGAATCTCAGGCCCCTGGTATTCCAGAACCCGAGCCGCCGAATCTCTCAAAGAAGGAACTCATCGAGCAGAAGTATCTCATGGCTGAGCACAAGTATAAGACCAGCTGGCTTCCATTTTTCCCTTGGCTTCTGCTAACGAAAACGAAAGACGGTTACCCTGCTTTGAAGTGCAGTGTGTGCAAGGCTTTCGGCAAAGAGACAACACCGTACTCCAACAGCCGCGACGGGGCACGTGACCTGCAGACGCAAGCGATGCGGTTCCACGAACACACGACAGCCCACGAAGTAGCAGTCAAGCGTCAGATGGAGATCGCTGAAGACATCGCCAGCACCCAGAGACGCATGGAGAATTACGCACGGATTGACATCGAGGGTAAGCGTGTCATGAGGCTCCTACGCTGCGTCGACTTCCTGTGCAAGTGTGATGCACCCATCAGCATGTACCCGAGGCTACTCCGCTTCATGGCCGAGCAGGAGACACCGGACATTCCGCTGCAGTCTTACGGAGTCTACCTGACACGGTAATGCCTTTATTCGAAATACATGATGTCCTTCATTTTTCAAAAAGGTCTAACCAACACCTTGTTGTCACTTCTGCTACTACAGGTATGGCTTCTGTCAGCTTGTCATCAGCCTGGCAACCTACCTGCAGCGCCGACAAATGCAACACATTCTCGCCTCACCCTACCTCGGCATCAGCTGCGACGAGAGCACTGACCGTACTCGCGGTAAACATCTTATTGTTTATCTGACCTTCTTGCGTGCGCATCGTGTTGTCACAGAGTTTTTTGCTCTCCTGACCGTCGAAAAGTGCGATGCCGCGTCTCTCCTCGCCGTTCTTCTGGCTCACTTGCGAGTAACTGGCATCGACCTCTCCTGAATCACCGGCATGAGCACCGATGGCGCCTCTGTCATGGTCGGCCGAGACAATGGTCTCGTCGCTCGACTTCGCGAGCACATCCCCCACTTCGTCTCGTCGCACTACATCGCCCACAAGTTTAACCGCTTGTCATTTCTGTCGCTTAGGGTTCCTACAACTGCTTGTCTAAAATTCCTTCGTGTGCACCATGCAGGGAAGCCTTGGCGGTGAAGGACGCGGCCACTGCTTCTCCAGACTTCGACATGGCCGACCTTGTGATTCGGACTCTGGCCGATCTTCTGGGACGTTCATGTGTCTGGAGTCAACGCTTCAAGTACCTGCAGCGGGCAATACACAACACCAACCTTGAAGTGGCCCCGGATGAAGCAGCAGAGAGAGAAGAAGCTGAAGGAGTACCTACATGGCTGCAGTGCCTTGTTCGACAACAGGCTGACAGGCTTTTCTTTGCAAGCTGCGCAGAAGAAGCTGGTCACGTGGGCGCCACTGATGCTGAGCCACCATGCCAACGAGGGATTCCATCAAGGCCTGACGAACTACCTCGGCTCGACGGAGTCGACCTTGTGAGAGAGTGCTGCTCGAAGGACGATTGTTGCATTTTTTTTGGGCGGTTTTATTCTTCCCTTTGGATGTTGTTTATCGATTGTTGACTAGCATCGCTAATGCACTGGTCGTGTTCCGTGTACTCTGTTCCCCCAACCCTTTTGGCAGTCGCTGGCCCAACCTCATGCGCTTGTGGCAGGCATGCGCTGTCCTGCCGCTTAGCACAGTGGAGTGTGAACGAGGCTTCTCGCAACAGAACGCCATCAAGTCATGGGTGCGGGGCGCGTTGTGCAATGCGCGCCTCAGCGAGCTGATGGTCATTTCCCTGCTGCAGTACGAGACTGACTGGGACGAGGCCCTTGGGTGTTGGCGCGAGAAGCTGAGGCGCCATGCTAAGTCTGTTCTGTTTGCCGCAGCGGAGAGGAAGCGTAAGGCGAAGGCGATTGAGGGGGCAGAAGTGAGGGTGGAGGAGGAGGCAGTCCCCGACTACATGGGGGATTGGGCAGAGGATGAGGGAGAGGGGGAGGGGGGAGTGGGGGGAGAGGCTCCTCCTGAAGTGGAAGACAACCCATTTCTGTCCGATGACGAGGCAGAAGACGAAGTGAACATGGATGGCCAAGAATTTTTGTAAAGTGTAGCTAGTGGCGTGGAATATTGTGAAGTCTAGACTAGATAGAGGACTTGTAGACTGGCGTGGCGTAGTGGTGCTTTTACTTAACTAGTAGCTGTACATTCCTAGTTGATTTTTTCCAAGTGCAATGCAACCCTGATTGTTGATTACCAACCCTGGAGGTTTCAGGGTTGTAAGTTCCAGAACGCTGAGAAATCAGGGAAGTCAAAATTCCAACACTTGGCCCTCAGGGTAATTTTTTTTCCACATTCGACAGCTCAGGGTGTTTTTTTTTGAAACGTCAGCCCTGACAAGGACCCACTAGGAGCCTAGAATCCAGACCCCCCTAGAATACTCTCTGTTAGGAGCCACCGCACACAATCCGCTAGCACACGGGAAACACCATAGCCTCTTCGCGCACACGATTCAAGCCTTACGCGGAGACCACCATCGGCGAGTCGAATTCATATTCACGTGATGATTGTGCATCGTCGAAAAGCTCCCGCACGAGATTGACGGCTGCACGAAATTTACGCGCGATTGGTGTCATGTCTGCCCGCTGTAGTGTGCGATGGGAGACAAATCAACAAGACGAGCCCCAGTCAATG